CCTCCTCTGGCCCCACCCTTATATGCTGTCCTCCTCCTCTGGCCCCACCCTTATATGCTGTCCTCCTCCTCTGGCCCCACCCTTATATGCTGTCCTCCTTCTCTGGCCCCGCCATTATATGCTGTCCTCCTTCTCTGGCCCCACCCTTATATGCTGTCCTCCTTCTCTGGCCCCGCCGTTATATGCTGTCCTCCTTCTCTGGCCCCGCCATTATATGCTGTCCTCCTTCTCTGGCCCCGCCCTTATATGCTGTCCTCCTCCTCTGGCCCCACCCTTATGTGCTGTCCTCCTCTGGCCCCACCCTCGTGTGTTTCTGGACTTTGTAAAACTGTAAGAGCAAAACACATGCCACCTCATGAGAAAATGTTGAGTGAAGAAGAAAGAATAACTGGTACCATGCTCTGGGATGTAGACCAGGTGATCTAGCACCCCAGTGCCGGGGTTAGGGAGTGGTGAGGGGCCACACAACACACTGTCTATGGGTGCCTTTTTTTTCCTTGGATCCATAAAATCTATTGATAGCCAGTGGTGGCTGTTTTAATCCCCCATGGGACAATGGACACATACGGCTCAGATGATAGCTCCGTGAATGGCGCACCTTGAAAATGTCCATTTTGTCTTCATTGTTCATTTATTTAGCTCACTGCTTTTCAACAGGCTTCCATGATGATTATGCAAATTGGGCAATTTGTGACCTGGTATTAGGCGGTGGAAAGCTGCAGCTCACTGCAAATAATAGTGAAGAGTTAGGGGGAGGGTCAGCCTGATTTCCACCGGGGGTAATGGCTAACCCTCATCAGTAATCAGCTTTGTTTATTGGGCCGGCCTCCCTGACCATGCTTGGTGGGATATGGGGGTTGGGGGGGGGCTCTGTGGGAGGATCATCTGTGTTGCGTGGCTGGTGCCCCTTCACTTCATGAACTAAACCTTCAAGACACTCAATGACTCAATGCCAAGTTGAGATATAAAGCATTTCTCAGGCTGGCTGCAGTCACTGGTTCTCTGCAGCTTGGTGAATTAGCAAGACTTGGCAGCTGTTTGGGCGCATTGGGAGGGAGACTTCTGAAGATCTGCAGGAGCCCTCATCTGGATTTAAGTCACACATTTCCCACCCTGACCAACTCTTAGCCTGTATTGTACCCTGTACAGTAATACTAATTTATTTGAGGATTGTTGACTTTTGACATGGGGTCTTTTTTAAATCCTCCTCAGTCACCTTCCTCTGGCAAGAGAGGCAGGGCCAGATTATTTTTCATGCTTTATTGATCTAACAAAACGAAAAGCTCATAAACGAACGAGGCGAGGCCCCTTGAAAAATGCACAAACCTGATCGTAGCCAGAACAACAGCCACATACCCTCCCTGTGCACTTCTCCTGCGCTGGAATGGAACTGTCTATTAATGAGTATTATTATGAGTATTATTACTCAGCAAAAATCAGAAACAAAAAGGAAGCAATCGCGGGCCAGAGTTAAAGCAGCAGAGTGTTCCTGCAGAGAAACCAGGGCTGCTTTTACCAGGAACAGAATTGTCTATTAATGAGTATCCATCAGCGAAAAGCAGGAATGAAAGGGAAGTAGTCGCAGGCCGGAGTCTGCTGCCATCACTCATTGTTATGGAATGTCAGCGATGGCATGCAACAGCTCATCAATAACGTCTTTAACAATCAGTAATGAAAATAGCTGACGTTGAATTTTGTCATTGATTGGTTGCATTTTGTTTGCTGCACAAATTGCATATAATGACATCACCATTTAGCAATGTTTACATTGGTGTGTTATGTAAAATATTTAGCAAGCTAAATATGGCAGACGGGTTTGTCTGTGGAAGCTCGACATAAGACCAAAACATCAGAGAAATCTCTCAGCAAGGAAGAAAATCCCTGACATTGGTGGAAGTCAAGGCTAGGTAGCCCATTTTGACTAGGCTATCAGTGTCCTACTTAAACATACCGGCCACCACCTGAGTGGCTTTTCTCTGCATCTGGCAACAGAGCTTTTAAGAGGAGAGCCAATCTGAGCCCAGACTATGTAGACATGTTTACATTTTTTGCATAGCAATGATATGCTTATGTAAAATCACTCCACTTGCTTTAGTGTCGTTTGCTGTTCAAGGTGAAGCTGAATTTATTTGGCCCAACTAATCAATTAGCTGATAGCCTGATCACATGCTTATTCAGTTTTCAAAATGATAATTTTTTGCAGCCCTACGCTGAAGTAAATAAGACAACTGGGCTTATCAGATATCTATGGCAGTCCAAGCATGAATTTGTAAATGTTTGCAAACAACTTAAGTGTCGGCATCTAGTGTTGATTTTAATTACTGTAAATACCGTGTCAGAAGAAGACTTAATACATCTACTCAGATGAATGAACCATCCGTCCATAGATAACGCAGTGCAATAAAAATCATGAAGTTTGGTTCAGAACTCCGATGGTTTGCTTGCTTTTTACTTCAGCTCCACCATGGGTTCAGCACAAACTTTCAACACCAGTCCTTCATCACACTGATGTTGCACCTTTTTTCTTGCTTGAATTTGTCCTTGGCTATGACTGGGCACATTGGCAACTCATACAAATTATTTAGCTCTGGTCAGACAGTGTAAATGATTGATTTAGCCACAATGTGAAAATCATATTGAATCTATGCTGAGAAATATGGGCAGGACTGCGCAAAGGATTGTGGAGTGTGAGGTCCCACAGGCCCTTGCGTGCCCCCAAACCCATCCAGTCTAGCTGCCATTTTCAAATCTCTGTTTGCTATAATGTGCTTAAAAAAAAAAAATCAGTTTTCAGAGGCGCATCCAAGAATTAGGTCTCAGACTGATCCAATTGAGTCTACAGGAGATTAACCCTGGACCTGGCATCTCCCCGGAATGGAGATGGGTGATTTGATTACTCTGGACCACAGTGTTGAAGGAATGCGCCTCTCGCTGTTTTCATTTCGCCAGACATTTGTGGACTTATTCTGATTCCGTCTTGCAGCGGCTGTGTTCACTGGGATAAGTTTGACATTTGTTGAGTTGTGTCGATCGGATGTATTTAAACAGGTTAAATTTTCATCAAATACCTTTTCTCAGGTGAAACGTTACTTCCTTGGTATATAAGAGCGGAAAGGAGTTAGCAGGTCACTCCGGTCACTTTCTGCCGTCTGTATTAATTACTGGATAACCGGTTTTCAGAGACCTGTTTTATAGACGGGTTTTTAAAGGAGCTGCTGTTTCATTTAAGTGCTTATAATTATTCTGTAAATTAGGAATTTGAAGCATTAATACGAATGGTAAATATTTCACTAATATGCTTTTCGGTCAGAACCTGTAAGGTTGAACTTAGTTCACTTTTTTTGCCTGTATGTGCACCACCTTTGCATGGCGGAGAGGGGGATGGATTTCTCACAACCTCCCAGGAATAGATTAGATGTAACTCATTAAATGCTGGACCCTGGGTCCCGACCTTCAGATACTCTCATTTACTCTACACGTCAACGCCGTTCGTTAAACAGCTCATTACCGAGCGGCTGCTCTAATATCAGGCGACATTTTCTGTGATCCTAGAAGCTGCCGAAAGAGATGAAAAGAAACGTCTGCCCTTGAAAAGTCATGCAGTCGACTATTTCTACAAAGTCAAGGGAAGAAAAAGGAACCATTTTGTGCTTTTACATTTTGTTTGTTTTAACATGCACTTTTATCCAAAATGACCTGCATATTTGAGAAAGCAGGGTCACACAGTCCCTGGAGCAGTTGGGGCTTAAGGGACTCGATCAGGGCACCAACAGTGACATCTCTCTGGCAACCCAAGGAGTTGAACCAGCTGCCTTCCGACTACAGACATCGTATTCTAACCCCCTGTGCCACAGACCATGCCAAAGCATGGATTAGCCTTCACATGAGTGCCAAGGTTCTCCAGTAAGACATGTCTTCTACAGGTTGTGGCAAATGGACAGACACCTATTGACTGGATAAATGTTTGAGTCCTAGTCACAGTTCTTACATGCTTATTCCTAAAAGTGCTCTGATGTGCCAACAATTTCTTACTGGTTGCACAAACCTTCATTACAGTCTCGTTAACTTCTGCATTTAAAAATAAAAAAAAAAACCTACTTTAAGTTTAAAACATGAAATGTTTTAACCTTAGTCTGAACCTGGGAAAAAAAATCTTTATTTGCAATCTGCTCAATGCCACCTTTCTCTCATTTGAGAAATGCACACATACATACAGGTCTGAGTGTAGGATCAGCTACTTTTCTGGTGCCCCGGGAGCATTCTGGCCAGTTAATTGTTTGAGCAAAGGGCTCAACAGAGACAGGGCTGTTTTGCTGAGGACGGGAATGGAAAGAGCGACCTTCTGATCATAGACACATGTTCGGTGTATGACAACAAAAAGAAATCAGTCACGGAAAAGCATCCTTCTGATGGTGTCGCCCGATATCCTGATATCAGTTATGTATTGGGTTACACATTATGTTTTTTTGAACTGAATCACCTATGAAGTGAACTTGCTTCCCTGTCTTGTTTTCCAGCACCCATGTGTGGTGGGCAGCTCCGTGGGCCAAGCGGCCTCATCACCTCCCCCAACTTTCCCGTCCAATATGACAACAATGCCAACTGTACCTGGGTGATCACTGCCGCTGACCCCAACAAGGTGACCGCTGGGCGGGGGGGGGGGGGGGGGGGGTTCCTTGGTCTCACAGCCTTCAGAAATGTACATGACATGGTGACAATTCCCTGCCATGTGAACCGCTGCTTGATCGTCTGTCCATAAAACTGAACAGTCTGCAGGTAGCACTTGAATAGAGTTATGCATAGATTAGCATTAATGGGCTAAAGTCATTGTTTCAGCACCAGAGCGGTGCACCTAGAAAATAAAAAAACATAATGGAAGATCAACTGTACTGATGTTTCGCATCAGAGAAGGAGTGTGTGTGTGTGTGTGTGTTTGTTTGTCTGTGTATTTGTCTGCCTGTCTGAGTGATCAGTGTGACTCTGAAGAGGACTGAAAGGATATCATGGTATCATGGAAGTGACACGGCCTCTCCCAGCAAAAAGTAATGACTTTGCAGGCCGGTTCAAGGCCGCCATGGGCCTCGCTTGCCAAATTTCAATCTCCATGCTTGAACAAATGATGTTACAAATCTGTACCCTTATCACAGAGGCCCAGCATCGGGTGGGCAGGGGCAGAGAGGGCAGGGAGGGGACACCTTCGTCAACGACCTGCTCTGAGTCACGGGTGAAATGGATGGTCTGGTTGGCAGGCGACGCTAAACTAATTAGGATGGAGCATCACTGGGCTACTCAGACCCTTCTGGAAAGATGCAACACCGTGATGTGTTCTCCTTACGGCCTTCGCATAAGCGCGGTGGCAGTCCCTGGGATGAGAGGCTGTGGTCAGAGGAAGGGAGGCCGAGATTAAAGAGACCCCAGCTGGGACAGGCCCTTAATTAATTCAAAAAGACATTATATTCCATGAGGAGTACAGCTGATCTAAATGAATTGTATTTAATTAACTGTAACTGCAATTCATTGCAATTACAATTATAATTGCAATATAGATCTCAGAATAATAAGATTCACTGAAATTCCAGGTATGAGCAAGTCTCCATCAGCCTCTTTTATAGTGTTCTGTAACAACTATTATTACTGTAAGATAAGGCTCATTAAATTGCCTGAAAGTCCACATCTGATATAGCATGTCTCCCTAAAATCCCGTGTTCTTTACTTGCATTGATGAAGGGTCTACATTCTCCAAATACCTTTTGGCATACTAACTCCAATTGCTGTTTGTTGTGCTGTCCTGTTTCATCTTTGGTCCCAAATGAAAGCCGTTCTTGCTGCTTCTGCATTTTTATTTTTTTTTTTATTATTATTATTATTATACATTCACTCTGATCCCAAGTGCGGTTCATTCGCTTTTATTTACTTTACTGTTTCCTACCCACCCCTCCCATAGGTGCTGTCCATTACTTGTGCCATGATTGGTGGACAGAAATTCATTTCCTGTGCCTTTCTTGAATAATTTTATCCATCTGTGTCTTTCATGAATGAATGTAATGCGATAATGACTGATCAGAATAGAATTAATTTATCATCACAAAGAGATGAGTCTGGAACATCTGACTGATCATGAGGAGGACTGTTATATATATTTCTGAAAGAGTAGCTGGTTTCATTCAAAGGCAAAGCGAACTTCTTGTGGACCCCAGTAGAGTTGTAACTCAGTTCTCAGCAAAACATCTCTACTTTAAGCTGGCTAATTCAGTGCTGTGTAACCTCATGCAAAGATGTGATGAACCAGGGCCTTCAGGGTACAGGTGGCCTTTCAATGAAATCAGCACAGATGGAACATACCGCAATGACCTGTGTAACAATGGGAGCTTCAGAACAAACTGCACATCCCACGGCCAGACCAGCCAGGGGCTTCAGCTATCTGTACAGTCTGGTAAGATTCCTTCATAAGCTCCTGATTAGCTGGAGTGGCCCAAGCTGCAGCTCTCATGCTGAAGGCTCTGAGTATGAAAGGCGGGTGTGGGAAGTTCTCTGCACCTTGATGATAGTAACTTTTAGTCACGGTTCTTTATAGTCTATATGGATTATTTGGAGTACCAAACGAAGGAGTTTATTGTTTCAAGCGCAAGCATGGAAGATGAAGGGAATCCCTTGCTTATTGGATGAATACCATACAGTTTGGCACATTGTTTTGTTGTCAAATGTATAAATGCACATTTCTGATGCCATCAAGGAATTATGCATTATATATGATAATGGCTTTTTTATGAAGGGCCGTGTGAGTAAACTGTAATGCACCACGGCTTGTGGGAAGACCCACAGCGAAAGTGAGCGATAGCAGCCTGCGCTTGTAACATGGTTTGACGTGGTTTGAAATGACCTTCTACTCCAAGGTAGAGGTATTGCTTTCTCCGGTACATTTCACATGGCATAATTTAGAGGTGCAGAATCTAGCACCCAGCTAGGTTATTCTTAAGGAATCCAAAGTGAAACACTTAAATCATTTGTAATAACCAGGGTAACATCAGAAGGTCCCTCACGACGGGAACTCGCAACTCTTTCAAAGGTTGAGAACCTTAGCAGATGACATTGTATTATCATACCATCCACATGTATGGAATATCTTGGCTGCTTCAGTGACCTAATGGGAATGTAAAGGTCATTTGGGTCCTGAATTTTAAGAAAGAGGGGCATTAAGTTTATATCTATTCATATAATATTTCTTGTATTGCAATACGATTATTTCGCATCCCTCTCGCGGGGGGGAGGATAGGTGGAGAGAACCTGTAATTTTGATTTTGCATTTCACTCAGTCCTTTTCCCCTCCACTGAACCTGCCCATCTCAAACCTGCAGACCTTACCAAACGAGGACAAACGCGACTGATGCCTGTGAGCAAAAGCAGCCGAGCCTAAAAGATCGTCGCTCGTACCTCACGGAAGGGACGCGGCGTTTAACTCGCGATCCGACCTGGAATGGCGTTTCCCCCATCCCTGGCAATTTTCATTACAGAGTTTGTTTACCATAGGACAAAATGCAATTTGCATTTATATAAGCTTTTTCATTAGGCTGAAGTCTCAAAGCACTCTGAAAACATCAAGAACTGAGCAGAAATGTGGCAGGCAATTTGAAATGAGAGACTAGACAGCTCGTCTTTTTTTGTTCCTCATGCTTTATAAACTTGTATGCTATTTCATTGAACAAAACGTTTATTGGATTATTTATTTATTCAGACCTGAATAAAGCAAATTTATGCTGTATATGAAACCTTAAGCATTGGAATAAAGATGAATTAGTCTAAATACCAAACTCATAATATCATTTTCTCTATGGATTGAGAGGGAAAGCACCTACCTTCCAAGTTATGGCATAACGTAGATCAGCTTAATTGTATATGATTATCTTTGTTCTTCACTAAATCTGCCAGATTCTAGATGGGATTACCTCAGATTTAAATACAGGTCTAGCTTGCATATTTAACGATTAAGACTGTTGTGTAGATTTGGTATATGTCTTTGTCTCTGTTCTTAATTTGGGTGACATGGTGGAGATGGATACACACAGGTGTCACCAGCAGCAACTTTCATTACTGGTGTCACACAAACTGCCCACTCATGTGCAGGTGATCAAGCTGACATTCGAGGATTTTGACCTGGAGCGAGGCTACGACACGCTGACAGTGGGGGACGGCGCGTCCGTCGGAGACCAGAAGACAGTCTTCCACGTGTGAGTGTCATCTGGTGCCCTCCTCTCTTCCTCTCTTTCCCTCTGTCTCCCATTCTCTTGCTTTTTTTCCCCTTCTATGACCTCCCTGTGCAGTGGTGCATGGAATAAATACCCAGGACCAAATTTTTAATTTCCGTGCATTTCAATGTTAAAACAAGATCACTTGACTGTGATGTGTTGAATATTGATGCCTGTAATGGTGTTGGAGACACCAGATGCTCGGAAATGTGTTTTCTTTTCTTTTCTTTTTTTTCCTTCTTCCAGACTGCAGTTAATAATTGTTTGAAAATTTATCGTGTTCATAAAGTTTAAAAGATCAATTTTTATGCATGTGCCTTCCGTGGATGGTTGGTCCTCATCCTGTCTTTGTCATGCTGTCATCAAAAGCTTTAGTCACGTATTCTGTCCTGAAAGGCTTCACTGGCCAAAGTTAAGAGAAAATGGTTCTGACCCTAAACCAGCGCACCGGGTTGGCTCTGTTACAGGCTGTCTGGGACCACCACGCCGGACCTGGTCGTCAGCACCAGTCACCAGATGTGGCTCAACTTCAAGACCGATGACTCCAGCGGTTCACTTGGCTTTAAGGTGTCCTACGAAGGTACAGGACTGGACTTAAAGAACAGCTTTTCTGTGTGACCCATTCATGAAAGACATTGTAAAGATACAAGAGAAGTAACAGGCAATGGAGGCCTGTGAGAAAATATTCAAGATAGATCACAGTAAAAACACTTTAAGTAAAACTAACCATATAAATATTTTATTATGTTATCTTGTGCTGCAGTTTCTGTGTACTTTGCGAGACAAAGTAGCATCAATGACCAATAATGCAGGGCTATTAAAGTCACTTACTGTATGAACAGCTAATTCGATCTAATTGGTCATTCTGTTTGCTATTGATAGTTGTGTCTTTAATGTTTCTGGTCAGCCGTAAAAAACAAGAGTCCAGCGGCAGCATTTCCTCAGCATCTTTTAAAGGTTGCTCAATAAATATAGCGGGCAGACTGGGTCACGCGTGAGAGTTGCTCGTCAGCGCGATATATCCAGACTAGATTTTTCTTCCCAGTCTTTTCTTTCATGGTGATTTATACGTCATTTTCCACCCACTGAAGTGGAAGCGAAGGGGATGGAGTTATTGACGGTGACTCTTTATAGCTGTATATCATTAAAATTCTGCTTCCCGGACGGCTTGTTTATAGGTGGGCGCTGTGTATCTAGCTTAAGAGAATAATATAAAAATTAAACAATATAAAATTGACTAAGGGGAAAGATGCCACAGTCATTTTGTTAACCGCAACAGGAAGATCCAGGCTGAGGTCATATAAATGAGGCCAAAATTTTTTGGGATATATGAGTAATGAAACTGTAAGATTACCTTGTCGTTCTTCGTGTCCAAATGGGCTTCTCTCATTTGTAAATTTCTCTTAACTCGGTCATAATGCGATGGCACAGGAACTCGGTGTATAATCAGCCTGGAACGGCCAGTGTGCATTGGCTAATCTACAGATGTCATTCCAGACAGTGCAGGACCAAGGTCCTCTTCCCAATGGCTTGGCGGCAGGTAAAAGCCGCAGGTGTATTTTGCTCCACTAATGACTGAAGGCTGAAACCCGCCTTCGCCATCGGTTCAAGTCTGTTGCCCCATTAATGAACCAATTATCAGGAATTGGCAGGCTTTGAACAGCCTAGCCCTGAGCCCACCTTTGCTTCTAGCGATGACGCAACTTAATATTGCAGGGTTGCATTTTATCCTGATTGTAATGCATTGACGTGTCAGTTTTCATCTTGGCCAGAAGACCACGTCCCTGTTGCCCTTAATCGTATTCTCTGCGTACCTCGCAACCAGGCTTCAGACGGATAGCTACTAATGGCCACTTTCAAAGGGTTCTCAGTCTTTTGCTCTTATGTTGTTATCCAAGGTTTTTTTTTTCAGGAAGAGCCCTGTCTCTCCGCACGCGAGAACCTGCAGCATACGGGATCTGACCCATTCATCCCTCTCTGATTTCTCTCATATTGGAAGTGAAATTAAAATGCACAGAAACTTAATTACATTGTGGATTGGCTCTGCCTATGAGTGAGATTAAGCTTTTGTATAGTTTTGTAGCAGTAAAATGCAGTATAATCTAAAATATTCATATTCATAATTATTTGTTTTAGTAGCAGCAGTAGTAGCAGAATTCATGGCTATATAACAATAAAATAAGTAACATGTTCATTAAATTATCAGCAGTCAGGCCAGTGTATCAGTAAAATAATTATTTATTTAAATGATAATTGTACTTTAATAGTGTTACATTTAAGTTAAGCTACTGAACTGTTCTTGCACTAATATTCTCCATAAAAGTAGCTGAACTCAGTGCATATTTTTCTCGATTTATTCCTTAAAATTCAGCACAGATGCCATAGTTTAGCTACTCAGTGAAAACTTCCTAAGAGATTGACAGCATGATGCCACAGGAACACAAGTATCTGATGGATAAATAAGTCATGTGAATATTTAGTGGGGGGATGATGGATATGAGGGAGAACATAGCGACATGTGTGCCTGTATGTGACGCTTCCCTGCTAGGCCGTGTTTGTAGTGGAACATCTGCCCACATTGGCTTCTCGAGCTGATGGCCCCCTCTACAGGGAGTGCAATTTAAAAGAAATAATGTATTAAACAGTTCTGGGGAGAGGCATTTGTATAGTCACACGTGTTCAGGGGCCTTGCCGGTCTCGTTGCTATGTCGACGGGCCCCTTTTCGAATTATAGCAGCTTGTCAGTCAGTTTGGGTGGCAGCTTAGTACAGACTGTCATGGACCTGCAGAATACACCTTGAGATGAAACCCATAGAGGCCAAGGACACCTTACAGCTTCCGGAGAGGGTAGCCTGAAATGCAAAGCAGAGTGACTGTCACGGGGTAGGTTAAGAAACATCACGCTAACAGGTATATCAGGGGAAGGAGGTTGAGTGGGTTACAGAAAGGAGAAAAGCTAAGGGAGACAATAAGCGGACAAACATTCACTATGATTAGTCCCATGGGGATAGTTCCATTGTCTGTTGGGCATTGCAAGTCATGTGCAGCTTGACCCAATTAGTGATACGTGCCATTTTTATTCTGCTGGCAATGACCCACTGAGATCAGAAAATGGGCCCCGCTTCTCGTTAAACTTGAAAACCATGGCTCGCGGACTAGTCTTGGCACAGAATCGCCACGCCGACCATTGCGGGTTTTACGCATTTTCTCCTGCCTTTCCAGCTGATTAGCTGAGTTGATTTTACCCACAGCAAGGGGGCAAACAAGACCTGACATGCTTAGGGTTTTGGATGCTGTAAATGAAAGATCCGAACAAAAACAAATTAATTTGGAGAGAAAAAATCTGGAAATCAATTCGTATTTGTTGAAGCATATCAGTGGGGCGGTGACGCCGAACGAAAGTCTAAACGAAACGATGATTGTTGCTGTTTCTTAAGGTTAGAGGCAAGCGTGACGATGACAACAGTTGCCAACATGGTAATACTCAATGATTTACTTTGACTCATTCCATGGTAACATTATACGACGAATAACAATGAATAAATAATGATTCCCTGTGGGACTTAAATAGCAGGTTAATGTGGCATTTTTTAAATGCATTTGTAAAGTTTTCCCAAGAATCCTAAGGCAATTGTTGTTGCTAAACACAACGGCGTTGCACGCAATAAGGCAACGAGAATGCAATTTCAAATGCCTGTTGTACTTGTATTTTATCTACAAATATTCTTATGATCTAGTACATTTTTGGTATATTGCTGAAAATGTCTGTCAACTTGAAATAGCGGTTGCTGTCTCCGTCATTGTATAGACATGGCATGCTGACGTTTGGTTGCTAATTGGCATTGTTATCAATTGTGCATGTTACATATAACTTCACACCATACCGTAAAGCCTTCATAAGAGGCCAAAGCTCTTCCTTCATGCAATTAAAGCGGAATCGGGGTGGGAATCTGATTTATGATGTGTGATGTGATGTGCCTACTGGCCTTGGTTATATTAGATTGTCTAGCTGCAGGCCACACTGACGGCAAAGACTCGCATGGTCTATACTCTGAATTTAATTTCATGAGCTTCCAAGCTTAAGCACCATTAAGGAGCTGCACTTCGAAAATAAAAGCCTGACTAGCTAAATCGGATAGCAAACGGCTGCACCCGCCCCCCGGAGTTTCCGATACTTACGCCTCCTTCACCATGGCTTCTCGAGCACTTTTCTTTCCAGTGTTCACAATATTCTTCTCCCTGTGTTGGAGCTGCAACCTCTGCGCCATGATCTCTGCGCTCTTCCTGTTCGCAGTGTACGACCCCCCTAACCCTCCGATCCCTCATGCTATGACACCACGCTGTCACGATTGCTTTTAAATGCATTCGCTTTGAAGAATGTTCCAGAAATCAAATAAATAAAAAGGCAAGATTTCATCATGCGTTTATGGCCACAGATCTTGAGACATGGACTGATGGAAGGATAGATCACAGGAACAAAATTGAGGCGATATTAATAAACTGGTCATTCTTCCTGATTTTCCCCCCCATTCTGCATAGCTGCTTATATAAATTGCATTCACTTTTTGCATTTCAGAACGTCCCTTGTATACATTTAGCATATACATATATACAAAACACCAGATATGCATTTTTAACTTTATTTGAAAATAAGTTTTCTTCTTTATATTTTATACTTATGTCAGTGGCAGTTTTTGTAGTGTAACTCGTCTTAGGGGTTCCACAGTTAATTGACCTGCTCTGGTGCAAAACGGTGGCAAAGCTGCACTCTGCAATTATCTGCCTCGCCTTAATGGTTCATTTTAGCAGCAGTAATTACACCACCCGTTACGGTGGCAGTAGCTTTGATGTGCGTCGCCGCTTTGATCCGAAAGCGCCCACACGGCCACTTTATGCATGCGCTCGCAACTGTTAAACCGTTATGCCATAAACAAGACACAAGACTAGTCAGTGGGTCGATTTGTGCTTTAGCATATGCAAGGGTGCAGCAAAGGCAAGTCTGCCCACGTCCAGCAAGAATTAAGCAGCCTTAGAAGGTTAGCAGAAGTGGGACAAGCCGCTCCAGTTCTTCCGCGTGTGTTACTGTAGCTCATTGTCTTCGCATTTTCGTTTAGGCTTCAGGATGTTTTTTTTTTTTTTTGTCCGAACCCCCTAACTGATGGCTCCTCAAGCACTTTTCACGTCCCAGCTTCAGTCTGCAGAGGGCTGGACATCGTGGTCTTTGTAGATTTCTGGTTTTGTAGAACATGTTATGCAGTTTGATCGTTTTATTTTGACCCGCTTGCCGTGTTTAATGCATGCGCCCTCTCTTGTTCTGCCACATATATAACATATATCATGTCTATATGATTATTGGGTCTCTGTGTTTTCATTACCCTTTAATGACATCACCAGACTTGGTCCATGCCTATAGCCCTCTCCGTACCCATCTCTCTCCATCCAAAACCAACACTATACATCCATATTCATCCCTGGCAATTTCTATCAATCCATGACTATTCACATCTATTGCATGCCTTTGCCATCCAGTCTCATCCTTCACCGTGCATCCTTTCCTCTTCCCTGCAGAAATTGACCAGGGTAGCTGCGGAGACCCAGGTATCCCTCCCTACGGTAAGAGGGACGGCTCGGGTTTCCGGCACGGGGACCACCTGCACTTCGAGTGTCTCCCCGCCTTCGAGCTCGTCGGGAAGAAAAACATCACCTGCCAGAAGAACAACCAGTGGTCGGCCAAGAAGCCCAGCTGCGTGTGTGAGTGGGTCCTCTCTGCTCTTCCCTAACCCCTTCATTAGGCCATCAAGCAAAGGAGCAGAAGTATAGTTTTTATATACACTGTGTGCTTCTCTGTATAATCCTACTTTTTCCATGCAAACTGGTTCAATAATTTCTCTGTGCTGCAGTTTTGGGGCCTTTTTGGTTTGTTGTCTGTATGTCTTCCCCTTGGTTGCCGTTTCATTCACTCAGGCTTGCATGGCACATCCTGAGTTTGCCGAATTTGATGTGCCCCTAGCTCAAAAAGGGAGAGGCTTGCGTTTCACTTCTTTAACCAATCACAGTTTTCATGGTATGACATCACCGCATTAATTAGAACCAGTGTTCTCTGCTAAGCGGCAAGGTGCACAGATTTTTAAAGTACCTATTTTTTTGTGTATGTCTTTGGTTAAAGGACATGTCATGGATTAACAAAACATGAGTAAATTTACCTGCAAAGGCTGTGTGAAACAATGTAAGGGTGCATCTGTGGCAATGGTGGCACAGGAGGTAGTGGTACCGTTTGGCAGCCGGAGGGTTGCCGGTTCAAGCCTCGGCTCCTTCTGACCCCATCGAAGTGTCCTTGGGCAAGATGCTGAACCCCAAATTGCTTACGGCGAGCTGGTTGGGGCCTTGCGTGGCAGTCTCTGCCACTGGTGTGTGAATGTGAGGCAAATTGTGAAGTGCTTTGAGTTCTTGAAGGAGTGGAAAAATGTTCTATATAAATGCATTCCATTTATTACCTGTATTTCATAATAACAAAAACAATAAGGTTCCATAGCACTATGTGCTTTGGACCCTTAATAATAAGCCTTGAACCAGCAACCCTGTGAGCACAAGTACAGAGGTATGAGCAACACACAACCCCTGGACAGAAGATGGTAGATGACAAGCAAAAGCCCCAATGCTGTGATGTTATAGGGTGAAGACTGTGATTGGTTAAATCTTGTCGAACCAGCGACACATCGAGCTCAGCAATATCAGGACGTCCTGCTTACACAGTGGTCTCCTGTCATCATTCTCCAACTTCTGAGGTGCTTCTCTTTTCTATTTCTCGTCACCACATTTATTCTTGCTTCATATATGCTTATCTTCGAATGTGGATCAATGTTTCTGGCAGTGTTCTAAACTTCAAAACTGCACATGTAATATTTAACAGTTATTTCTCTGGTTATAGCTTGAGTCACGGAGAACGCATAACAAAGCAGCATGAGGCGAGTTTTCGGCGTTAAAATAGTTGCCGAGGGTCGGGTTATTTAACACGTCTCCCCAGTCTAAAATTAGACAGAGGCATATTGATTCCCCCTGGGTGTCGGGAGCCTGTCAGCAAGCACAATTCTTAAACACTTGTATTGATTGGTGAAGAAGCGGCTTGTCATGCTGATCAGAATAGTGCCGGCCACCGGGCTCTGACCCCACGCACACCCATCAATGTTACTCCCCTCCTGCATCTGTGCCTGGATTCTGTTACATCCTGTTCCTCCCTCTGAAGCCAAATATGTTCTGTAACACAGGAATCACTGTGATCTGTGACTCTTTTTTTTTTGTTTGTTTGTTTGTTTTTTTGGTCAGCATTTGTTTATTTCCTTGACAACTGAACAAAATAGATCAAAATCCTGCCGCCGAAGACTGGTTGAGCCCTATTACTTTAGCGAGCCGCCCCTCGATTTTATCGTGTTTGTGATGACAACTGTGGCCTTTTTCATTTTACAGTGACGTGTTAGCCCTGGTCAGTGCTTTGCTGCTTTATTCTCCGTCTTTTATCTGTAATGAGATAAAGGGACCGGAGGTTTCAGTCCAAGGCAAGTGAGAGTCCATACCTTCTGGCAACGTGAGCATCTAATAACCTCAGGTCTATAGCAGGGTCCATATTGTCAGTTTTATTAACCGGCACTAGCCAGGATCGGATGAGGAGGTCTTTAACTAAAGACTGCTTAATTAAAAAAAAAAAAAAAAAAAAAACTAATTAAGGCTCGAGTCAATACTGCAGCTGATAGGGCTGAGGACACAGTTGCTTTGTGGCTTGGATGAATTACAGCAAAGGTCAGCCTTCAGACACATCAAGAAAAATGCACAGCATTGCAGTGATCTCTGGTTAACTAGGCCAGTTAACTAGCTAGCCCTTTTCAGTGACCATATTTCAAAATGCCGATGTGATATTTTACCTGCTGGGTTATCAGGACGTCAGCGCTACCCACAGTTAGCTGAGCTACGCTTGTACAATTAAGAGTAAAAAATGCACTGGCGATGCAGCAGAACACACTGTACAGGACCCGGGTGCGAGCAGCACCGCGCAGTATTTACAGAGTGAGCCGCAGTATTTGCAGAGTGAGCCTCAGTATTTACAGAGTGAGCCGCAGTATTTGCAGAGTGAGCCGCAGTATTTACAGAGTGAGCCGCAGTATTTGCAGAGTGAGCCGCAGTATTTGCAGAGTGAGCCGCAGTATTTGCAGAGTGAGCCGCAGTATTTACAGAGTGAGGCTCGCCGCCAGACGGCTGAGCTTGACAGGCACAGATACTCAGAGGCACAGCCACGCACTTGCCTGCCGCCCCCTACACGCACGCAGCCATGCACTCGCCTCTCTCCCCACAGACGCACAGACATACGCTCGCACACACTAACCGAGGCTAATAAAGTCATGAGATGCAACGCTTTAGACACGGGGGGCCGCAGTTTGGGCCGAGCGCCGCTCAACGCCCAGACTTGTATGAACATAGTATCACCCCCCTCCCTGAACGCCGCCCGCTGCCTCACCAGCTGTCGCTGGCACCGCTCTGTGTCCTTCTCGTCTATCCGCGCGTTTCCTCAGTGCCGTCAACGTGGCCCGACGTCTCGGACCCGGCCGCATCGCCAGGGCGGTGGGGGGAAGGTGATCCGCAGCATTCCTGGTGTTCCCGGGTCTCTCTTCATGTTCGATCGGTGATGAATGTGAAAAGCCACTGCAGGAGTCGAGGGCAATGTACAGAAAATAAGGAGAGACAAAAAAAGAATGAAAAATAAAAGCGAACTTGTGATTTATGGATAGCCTCAGGTGCAAGATGGAAAATCGAGATGGCAGAAAGGGAAAAAAAATTAGCAAAACAAAGCAAAGAAAAATAAACAGTGAAACATGACTGCTCGATGTGATGAGGTGCAAAATCGCACTCTTCCAGTCGGGTGGCATATGTAGATAGGCAGAGACAGCCATATACACGGAGTTAGAGTTGTAGCCTCTGTCTTTCTCCCTCCCCTTACTGTGTTAATAGGTGTCTCTGCAATATGTATCTAAATGTTTAGATTGGACAACACTCATCAGGATGTACTGTAGCTGTAGAATTGAAAGCACCGGTGCTAATAATTGTCTGAAAACATTTCTCAGAGCATCAATTCTTCCTCTGATTGCCATTCAGACCTTTTCTGTCTCCGGCAGAACACGAAGGGAACAATTTGTGAACACATTTCAAGTAATCTTCCTATATCCTTTACTCACAGTATCCTCTTTTTTTTAGCCTCAGACAGTCTGAGTGTTCTCTCCTTACCTGGTAATCATACAGTATAGGGATTCCCTTTGCTTTGCGGTACGGAAACATTATACAGTACTAGGCGCTATGCCCTAATCTTCTCTGTATTGTCCAGCGTTACTCTGCTATGCTGCCTCCCTGCTGGGCATCCTGACGTGTTACGTACCCTTGTCTGTGTTCTGTGCTTAGGTTCCGCTTTCTGTGTTACTCTTTGCTAATTACGTGTTAAATCTCCAGAGAGCTTTGTGTAATGGCTACTTCACAGCCTCCCTTGACTCGCGGTGCTCACCGCGCTGCCGGTAACTGTGATGTGTGCTAACTCGCCTTCTCTGTGTCTCCCTGCTCAGTCTCCTGCTTCTTCAACTTTACCACCCCATCCGGCGTGCTCCTGTCGCCCAACTACCCCCAGGAGTACGGGAACAGCATGCACTGCGTCTGGCTGATCATCGCCAAACCCGAGAGCCGCATCAACCTGGCCTTCAACGACCTCAGCTTGGAGAAGCAGTTCGACTTCCTGTCCATCAAAGACGGTGGCAAGGCCGAGTCGCCTATCCTGGGCACCTTCTCCGGGGATGCGCTGCCGTCTCCCATCACCACTAGTGCCCACGTGGCCCGACTGGAGTTCCTCACGGACCACACCAACACGGACCGGGGCTTCAACATCACCTTCACAAGTACGTAAGCCATTGGTGTCTTTTGGTGCCGTGACACTGATGTTCTTTAGCCCATGTTGTTACCAAACGGGTTGTTATGTGCCCAAACCAAACGAAAACAAAATGATGCAGAGTGAACGTGACAGAGAATTAATCAGGAAGTTAATGGTGACTGATTTCACCAAGCTGAACAACTTTTTGGTTTGTTGGCATCCATCTACAGTTAGGTTGACATGTATGGCAACAACGCAGCCAAGCAACATTCCCTTTTGAATAGATACCAGCTTGAATGCCCTTGTTCACTGAGTTGAGTTTCATGCTCTTGACACAGTTTGGAATCCATTGCAGATTCATTTCAGTGTCTGGCACATTGCATCAGTGTCTGTAGTGTCAAATTGTACAAACAAAACTGACCATACAGATCACGATGACCATGATATAAAATATAAAGAGAGTAAATATCATCTGTATGCTAAACACATAAAATTAATGTTGACAGAGCACCTACAGAGCTGTTTAACTCCCCTAGAACTTTCTGTTGCACAGTGGCGGTCTTGGCCCTTCTGTGTCCTCGTCTAGCAGGTTATCTTTTATGTCTTTCTTGTTTATATTTAGCTTTATTAGTCTAGCTCACACCATTCTGAAATGGTCGTTAATAAAACTTTTATAATTTGAAAGGAAAATATGTGGATGAGGTCAGACTTTGTTCAACGTGCAGATGCCCAAACCCATAATATGTCATTAAACTTTCAGGACCAGATAGTGAGTCCAGATTCTCCAGGGATTCTCTCAAGGGCAAGAAGAAGGTGCTGGGAATTATGGCATTAATTGTCAAATAAACAGGCAAACAGACAAAGAAATAATGAAAGACAGGCATGGTTAATCGGAGCTGACGTCGTTACAGACGTCTCCCACCACGTGATCCGCTGATGGGCTCTCCTGGGTGGTCTAGTCCTATCATCCATGTTAATTACGAAGATGACAAACTCCATTGAGAAGATGGTTGCTGGTTTAATAAATAGAACGATGGTGATGGATGAGCTTTGGGGTGGCTTTGGGTGCGACGGACTGGCGGGGGAATTAATCATCGCGAGTGTGTCACTGCTGTGTCGAACCACGGAGGCTAAGATGGCCCCCCCATGCGGTGCTGACGTTTATGGAGGAGCTGGGCTCTATCCCCAGGTGATGCATCGCCCCCACATCCGCTGTCGACGGCCGTGCAAGCCTGCCCAAACCTGGGAATCAAGCTCCGAAGTTTCTGAGCCGTATAAATCAATCTGGTCTTCCTAAGTGAAACAAATTAGATCCAAAAATAATAAACAGCTGCAGAAAAGTTTGCTCAAGGAGCCGTAGTTTTGGGGGTCGGGTTGCTACCATATGCGTGATGTTCAGTAATAGTCCCATGCAGTGTATGAGGAAGTGTCTCCTCACTGATCCACCCTCCCTTAAACTCCACCTCCAACCCACAGCCTTCCGCCACAACGAGTGCCCAGACCCCGGTGTGCCAGTGAACGGGAAGCGCTTCGGGGACAGCCTACAGCTGGGCAGCTCCATGTCCTTCACCTGCGAAGAGGGCTTCATCAAGACCCACGGCTCGCAGACCATCTCCTGCATCCTGAAGGATGGCAACGTCGTGTGGGACAACGCCATGCCCCGCTGTGAAGGTGACTAGCCCTTCCTTTCGTGGGTGGATAGGAGTAATAATATACGAACTCCTCATTTAGCAACCATTCGACGGTGAGATATACAGTGGTACCTCGGTTCTCGAACTCACTAGAACTCAAATTTCTTGAAAGTCGAACAAACCAGTTTGACCTAGAACTCGATCTGAATATCAGAAGTCGAACCGTGAACGCTGACCTAATATAAATTGTATGCGCCAGGAAATAAGTCATACTACAATGCAATTCTTACTTGAATGCCTTCTTCCTAGACTGGACTATTAACCAAATAAAGCAGCGCAACATTACAGTAACTAACAATAAATAAACCACTAGCTTACGTGTGCTGTTAGAGCATTTATGTCATTTATTTAAACTTAATTTTACCAGGTAAATTAACTGCTATACGTGATATTTGGGAGAAATAGCAGATTACCCATCGTAACTGCCTGGGATACAAACGTCATGCGCGTAACTAAATTCTTCAACCAATAAGGGCAAAGGTGTGTCGTCACGGAGGCGGTTCCAGTTTGTGCAGCCGGGTGAGAGGTCGCAATGCATCTAACCGTAATGCATTGCGTCAGGATCAGAATGTGTTGCTTTAAGCCAGCGCTGTAAGCAAGTCTAACGCACCCAATGACCGGACTGGGGAAACAAACTGAAACGTGGACTTAATACTGAGGACTAATGACAACAATCAGAAACAGCTGATCACATGGGGATCCCACACGAGGTTAACGAGGGGGTGTGGCACACGGAAGGAGCGGACGATTGGGGCAGGACAGGGGTAATGTTGGGATTAGATCTTTATCGTTTTGGAAGCCATTAAGAGAAAAAATGCTCGTCTTGTTTTATCATGTTTATTTTGTGTTTAAATGCTAAAAAAATATACATATATTTAGGTGTAATTTTGGGGGGCCGGGAACCAATTAATTGGTTTTCCATTATTTCTTATGGGAAAAATTCGATCAGAACTTGAACTTTTTAGGATTCGATCCGGAGTCCAGAACGTATTAAGTTCGAGAACCGAGGTACCACTGTATATATATTTTTTTCTTTTTCCAATCCATGCATGCATTTATGACCAAGTTGCGTACATCTGCCAACAAGGCACACCGGAGTGGGAGTAATGCTGGCTTAGCTGTACAAGAACTTTATCTGAATGAGACAGTGGCAACCAGTAATCTTTTCAGTGCAAAGCACAGTTGCACTGACACCAAGGACACCATGATTTTCACTCACTAACTGTTTTACTAAACGACCTGGTTGTTGAAACAGAACTCGGTCACTAAACGAGGAGTTTATGCAATAATAATAATAATAATAATAATAATAATAATAATAATAATAATATCAGGCACTCCTGCTGGTACATTTACAGCATAGATCACACATGAGTATGGATTTCTCATGCCTGTTTTCCCAGTTTGCATGCAGATGTGGCCAGTTGTTTACACCAGATGGCTATAATCTCAGGCAGTCTTCAGCATTTTTATTCATTATATAAATGTAGTCAAGCATACAAAAAAGATTATTCCCTCCCAAGAAACAAAAAAGAAATTAAATAAAGTAACGTACATCCTGAAAATCATAACGGCAAAATAATTTTGAGCAAAACTCATTAGTAAATGCAGCTGGAAGGCTGTGGTTCCAGATGTGCGCACCTGTGATTCGTAGCGATTTGTTGCGTGATTCGTAGCGTGATTCGAAGGGTAGCTCCATTGAGGAGTGCTTGAGGTTTAAGCAAAACTGCTGAAATTCATCTGCATCCACACTATCCCAGGCCCGGACCCCACATTCCATGCGAGGGCTAATGCGGATGCATGCGCAGCTCCCTTCGCTGCTGTGGTAACTGAGCCATATCCCAAACTCCCTGTGACAGCTGACCGACGGTAATAGTGTAGAACAGCACAGCTCAGGCAGTGCACCTGAGAGCGCCCCTTTGAATCCCCGGGAGTTGTGCTGCTACTAGAGGCGTTACTGGGTCAGCAGGCTGCGTGGCGGGTGAAGGAAGTGAACTTACGACCGTGAGACTGGCGGTTTACCTCCTGGGGCTCGCTGTTGTACCTTTGAGCCTGCAGCTTCACATGTGTCAGAAAAAACCCGGCTGCGCGCCCCAGCAAAAGTGCAAGGCATGCAAGTTCTTTCTCCTAAACGCACACAGCAAGCTGTTGCTTGTCCGTCTCCCGGGTAACATGAGGTGGGGGGGAATACTGTGGGTGCAACGCCAGCCCATCATCATAGGACCTTGCACGCACACCAGTACACCCAGTTGTATGTTTTTGGGCTGTTGTGAAGACAGGCATGTTCCTCACAGGAATCTGCCCCCCCCCCCCCCCCAGGTGAATGTGCTACCCTATACTACGTAGCTACATGACATTACGCATGAAAGCAGAGAGGTTACACTCAGAAAGTGCAGTGAGGCCCATCCTGCAGTTATTATGAACCAAGCAGGCTCTATATTTGGGTGGACCGGCTGGTGCGTGACAGGAGCATCTGTGGTTTCTTCTCCCTGACGTAGCCACAGAGCTTGTGTCCAGTAGAACCCTGCTTTTAGTCAAAGTGGTCACACCCAAGCCTGGTAGCAGAAGTGAAAATGGGCTGTACCACCTGCTTTGCTGGGGGGGGGGGGCAGTCAGTGGGTGGGAAGGAAGTGCTGAAACCGAAACCAATAATTTTTGAAAATTGTTCCAGCCGGTAGTATCACTGTCACTCTTATATGTTGCTAAGCTGCTTACCATCTGTGGACATTTTCACAGGAGGAATCAGAGGGTTCAGCAGGTGCAACAGCACAAACCTTCGGGGGGCATGAACTGACAACCTTGTGGGAGCACATCATTATACTTAAACCACCATTCCTCCCGCTGCTCTCGGTTGGCTCAGACCTTAGACTGACAGCACTGGCAGCACTGCCTGTGTAGCTGAAGCCTTCCGGAAACATAACAGTCATCCGTCTTCAAATCCCACGGTGTCCCCGGGAGCTTTACGCAGAGACAGGAAGTCAGATTTCACTCAAGCGTCATCATCCTTCTAGACAAACTTGCCGCCGCTGAAAGGCCTCCGGGAACTTATCTGCATTTGAGCAGGCTTGTAGACATGATGGGTAAGCGGAGCTGCCCTCCAGCTCCGACATGACAGCACCTGAGAGCTTCCACAGATACTCGGATCCTGTCCAGATAGCGTGCTTCCCTTCCGGTTCTGATGCTCTTTTCCAGTTGTTTTACGTTAAAATCTGCATAAACTGTCGTCATTCTTAAAGATGAGTATGCTTCTTCTGGAGTTTACAAAAAGTTCAGTTGTTCTCGAGGGGATCTCTTCAGCCGTGCCACAGTATCTGACAGGGTCTCTGCTGTATTTTTGTACACCCCCCCCCCGAACCTAAACACCCCTACAGCTCCTTGTGGCGGGGAACTTAAAGCCCTAAGTGGCATCATCCTGTCCCCGGGCTGGCCTGAGCTCTACAAGGAGGCCCTGAACTGCGAGTGGATCATCGAGGCCCCTCCTGGCCACCCTATCAAAATCATCTTTGACAAGTGAGTGCTGTTCCTGCCTCGGCCCCTCAGCCAACCCTGCCAGACTCCCTGCAGCTCACTTTCCTGCCGTAATTCTGCATTTACCATTGCTGGGTTGTAGCCCTAATATGACAATGATGACATTTATTTATATCTGCCCGCGGATCGTTCCATTTCGGTAATCTGCGTCTAATTTGTGTGATAACATTTAGTTCTACGTGTGAATGACAGGCACACGCACTCCAATTCCTTATGTCGTACACGATAATTATTACGCAGCTTTGAGACACGTGATCATATCCGCACAGTCACATGGCTCTCTGGAGAGCCACAGTCCCGTGTGGCGAGACGTGTGCTACATTTAGTTGCGGTTGTGCCCCAGACACATGCACACGTATGACAAAGACATGAACAGCTAAAAACAAATGTTCTTTTGCATGCATGTACATAAATTGAAGATCACTTGCAACAATAACACTAATGCAATCAACAATAATGCAGTGTCTCAACCCAGTCCTTGTGGACCCTCAGGTCCATTTTCTTCTACTTCCCCCCAGCTCCCGACACACCTACACCAGGTAGTCAATATTCTTGTTTGGCTGGAAGCTGGGAGGGAAGAAATATGTGCACTTTCTAGGGTTCCGGGACAGGAGAAACAGTGCATTACTGAATTTGCATTATTGTTGTGTGCTTATTAGTGTGTATAGGTGTACAAGCAAGTGAGCTTCTCTCAATGTACGAGACTGGGTTGGGAAACATTGGAATGACACAATGATCAGCACCGGTTCTAAATGACCCAGCTGTTGGTTCCTGCAGGTTCCGGACGGAGGTGAACTATGACGTGTTGGAGATTAGAGACGGACGGTACCCATCGTCCCCCCTCATCGGCAGCTACCAGGGCACGCAGGTGCCGCAGTTCCTCATCAGTACCTCCAACTTCCTGTACCTGCTGTTCACCACGGACAAGAGCCACTCGGACATCGGCTTTCGGATCCGCTACGAGAGTACGCCCCCCGCTACGGTGCTACCTTGTGACGCAGCTCCCGGTGTTATTTTTGGACTGACGTCACCGTAGGGGTGGTGAAGTACCTCCCCTGGCATGCCGAGCATGGCTCAGTCGCTGTTTGACAGGCACCTCAAAGTCCTGCAGGATCTGCCGCGCTGACAGCTGGCATAGGCCGCGTCGCGTAGAGAACCGCTGCCGGCATACCCACGTCCTACACGCGTGCGCACCACAACCTCTTTAGAACGAGACTGTGTTCCCGTCGAACATCTGGTGTTTACACCAGTGCATTCTGCCATAATTAAAGGCTGTCATATTCTGATTGTACATGTAAAGGTTCCAGTGGCACATCTGAAAAGAAGCTGCACTTTAGATGTTGTGCTTGAGTTTGAATTAGCGGGGAAACAGATTTTAAATTCAGAAATTTTCCGCTCAGTGTGTTTTTGTACATAATTCAGTTTGGACAACTGTAAATTACATGACTAACTTCCTTGTTTACCTTGTGCTCTAATCCAGAGTGACTTAAATAGCAATTTTGATGCTTTGCCCATAATCTGAGCTTCTTGTTCAAGAAAGGTATGTACATTTCCGAATGGTACAGTGTCCTGTCCCTATTTAGATCCTGAGCCTATTCATTATTGGCTTCCGTGAAATCTACAGGACAATACTCTGACTAGTTTCTGATCAGAAAGCTTACAAAAAATTATCTAATTATCCGGTTACATGGCCTGTTCTCCTGCCACTGGAGTCTGCAGTTGGGATACAAGCAGCCACTTTGACTCAAATTAAATAGACTAAAATTGAGCTGTCAGTTTTAACAAGATGGAAATAAGAAATTAACCACTCAGTTCGTCTGGACATCTGAGCTTGTGTTCACATCGAGCCATGCCCCCCTGCTTTAATTACAAGAGACACTGAAATACTTAACAGCTGAGACACCCTAAAGTAAATAGACAAAAAAGGATGTGCTGCTATCGTAACGATCTGCTTTAAGTGCACTGAGGTCTAAGTCACAGCATCTGTAATTACATAATAACAGAGGGCTGATTTTGCAGTGAGATAAGCAGATTGGCAGGCGGGGCTTTGCGTAGCTTTGTGACAGAGCAGAGAGGGCAGCCTGTGGCCGCGGCTTCGTGTGACTCACGTGCCACAGTCCCAGTCACCATCGCGCCATAAAGCTCAGCCTTCTCCCCGTTCCAAAAAAAGTACACTGGCACGATACAGCAAACGCTTGTTTCTGCAGAGGCACATAACCTTTAGAAAAGCGTATCATACTTATATAAAATAACAGCCGCATTTCCTGTGAGCACTGCCACTAGAATTACCCTGGATGTATTCACTGCATTAACTAAGTGCTCAGCAAATATCCATACGAGGTATAACTGTCCCATATATACATTACTCCACATAAGTCTCTTTGTAGTACGTTTAATTACGCTTAAATCTAACTCAGCAGTGTTTAATTCCTCAGGAAATAGCTATTTAAAGATTAGAATTTGTACAAATGAACAGTAGTACGATAAAAAATAATAATGTCTTTTGTTCTCCACAAAGTTACTGATAATTTGCCAGATGGCTAGAAGAACATGGTTTGGTTCCAAAACCTCTTCTTAGACATTCCATGTAAATTTTGCCACCATCTCATAAATATTTAATTCACTTCCTGAGATATTGAGCTAGTGGTCCAGTTCACAAACACGTGGGTATATTGGAATGTTTTGCTTTCGCTAAAAATGTATAATGAAAAAGTCAAAGTAATTTTATTGAACAGATTTTCACGTGTTGCTCAAACATTAATCAGTTAAAAACAGAAAAATACCAAATGTAGAAAAAATATATCTATATAAGAACTATTCCTTTTTTGTAAACTAGCGATACAGGTGGTGACAGTTTGCTTAAAGAGGTGCATCATGAGTGGCACAGTAACTTACTGGGCACAGTGATTCGGCAGGTGGTACAGTGACTCTGTAGACAGCGTAGCGACAGTGGATGGCATAGTGACTCAGTGGGCAGCGCAGTCACTTTAGCAAGCGGCTCAGTGATTCAGTGGATGGCACAGTGACTTAACAAGCAGCACAGTTATTCATTGGGTTGCACAGTGACTTAGCAAGCAGCACAGTTATTCATTGGGTGGCACAGTGACTTAACAAGCAGCACAGTTATTCATTGGGTGGCACAGTGACTTAACAAGCAGCATAGTTATTCATTGGGTTGCACAGTGACTTAGCAAGCAGCATAGTTATTCATTGGGTTGCACAGTGACTCAGCAAGCAGCACAGTTATTCATTGGGTGGCACAGTGACTTAGCAAGTGGCTCAGTGATTCAGTGGGTGGCACCGTGACTCAATGGGCAAGATGGTGGCCTCATACTTCGAGGGTCCTGCACCTTTGTTTGTGTGGAGTTTGTTCCTCCCATGTTCATATATGTTTGCTTCAGGAATTCTGCCTTTATACCACAGTCCCCACATATATTCATTCAGGGGGTTGGGTGTCTCTAAATATCTGAATACGTGATGGTGTGTCTGTATGTCCAGCAATGGCCTGAATTTTCCTCGGGGGCGGAGATAAACAGCCTCGTCTCCGTGTCTCCACCCCCTCACTGCAGTTGTGCAGCTGCAGTCAGACCACTGCGTGGACCCGGGCATCCCGGTGAACGGACAGCGGCACGGGCACGACTTCTACGTGGGCGCGCTGGTGACGTTCAGCTGCGACGCCGGCTACTCGCTGAGCGACAGCGAGCCTCTCGAGTGTGAGCCCAACTTCCAGTGGAGTCGTGGCCTCCCCAGCTGTGACGGTACGTGCTCCCCCCCCCCCTCCCCCAGCCAGAGAAATCACTCAGTTGGAAGCAGAGACATAATGGGGGTTTTCATAGAACTGAGACAGACCTGATCGCGTTGTCTTATGTTTTCCCTGCTTTCTCTCTGCCTCCCTGTTTCCCTGCCCCTGCTTACACCGTTACATCCCTTTCTTCACCATTTTTATATCATTGGCAATAATCTTGTAAACTCCATTTTAGTGCATCGTCAAAGCTGGGGACAAAGTAACGATAGCTGTGTTTATATGTCGTTTACGGGATTCCCCGCTCCATTCTCGCCCACACTAAAGCTCTCTGCGGAGGTTACATCCATGGGAATAGCGGCACCATCCTGTCACCCGGGTTCCCAGACTTCTACCCCCACAACCTCAACTGCACCTGGGTGATTGAAACGTCCCACGGCAAAGGTCAGCGCGCAGCTACCTCCAGCTTCTGTGACATAAGCATGGACACTTTTATTGGACAGACCACCAATGAATCTTGATGTCAACATTTAGAATTTATGCTGCATGTTTCTGGGATCGTTACCCATATTTTTCTTTAATGGCATTGCATTTTTGATTCCGTCTATATGGTGTTTTCTGTCAAGTGCTTTACGACAAAGCACTTATAAAAATACTGTAACAAGTGAAACCTGATTGACTGACATGCTCTGTTGACCTGGAGTCACGCGGTAGAATGTCAGTCCAGCAGGAGATTGATCCAACTTTATTGTTAGTTGCTAGCTGTTTATGTTCCCTTGTCACAGCAGCAGATGTCATCGAATCGATAAAAGTGCTGCGATGATGATGTCACCTGTAGAGTCGAAGCCAGCATAGTGTTCGATTGGTCCTTTTACTGAGGACTCTCGTCTTTAGCTCTAATTGTATAGGTTGTGGTGGTAATAGCGTCTGCCTGATGATCGCTCTGCCCTTCTTTTCCTCCGTACAGGCGTGCAGCTCACTTTTCACACCTTCCACCTGGAGAGCCCCCACGACTACCTGCTGGTGACGGAGAACGGCAGTTTCTCAGAACCCCTCTGGCGTCTCACGGGTTCCACGCTGCCTCCCCCCCTCAGCGCCGGCCTCTTCGGCAACTTCACCGCCCAGATCCGCTTCCTCTCCGACTTCTCGGTCTCCTACGAGGGTTTCAACATCACCTTCTCTGGTAGGCGAGCACCCCGTCCAATTCCCCTCAGTATTTTACACTAGAACCATAATTTCCCAGACCAAACATCAAGCTTCTTTAACCGCCAAGCAAGACATACTTCGGCTTATGCAGCCCTTTTGTTCGCGCTAATGTGCCATGAGTGTTAATAACAGCAGCCAATTGAACACCCTCAACCAAAAAGCCATAATGTTCTTAATAGACTGGCTGCTCTGTTGCAGTAGTGAATCTGACAGCCTTAGCCAAAAAAGCCATAATGTTCCTAAGAGAGTGGCTGTTCTATCCTGAAATCATAAAGCTGAAAAAAATTAAGTGCAGTATGTATTATATAAAATGCTGGATAAATAGACATAGTTTATTGGTGATTTCGTGTTTATCGAAGTTTCTGCTTTTTAACAAATGTATTAAGTAATGGTATTTTTTTTAACAAATCAACTCAGGTGAAACAATAAAAAAATGTGTGTTTTCAGGGTCGCCAACTGTCGCTCATGACGCTCATGCTTTCAGATTCTCTCACTCACACCGGAAATCTTGCGGCAAATTTATATTATTCCATTATAAACTTAAAATTAGCTGCATCAAAAGCATTGGGGTAGTTTGAAAACCCTACAGACTATTTAAAAGGTAATTCAACTCTTTCATACATGTAAATGCATATTCATGTGAAAAATCTCACTCCGGCCAGCTGGCTGAAGTTGGCAACCCCATGTTTTATTTGAACTGAAAAGTAGAATGCACTGTTTTCAGCTGAAGCGGCTTGTCATTCCGATTGCGTTGTTACTCCGACAAATATAAAACGAATATGAGAAAAACATTGCGTGTTACATTTTATATCTTTTCAAAATAATAATAAGACCACCCATACCCTACTGTAATGGCTATTAAAGTGATCAATTCTTTTGGTATTTGTATTAAAACAAGCCTTATTACTGGTGTGGGACTGTCGAAACCAATGCATAAATGAGCACTAAAATATATGGCATAAACACAACTGTACTATGGGCTTTATGGCTTTTTTTGGGGTGACAGTGTAACTCTGTTGCTGTGAGTATTACTTACTGTCCCATTGTTTTCTTGATGAGTGAGCAGCATGCTAATATGATGGCCCATCAAGAAAAACACAAGGCGTGATACTCAGAAGTATGTGCTGCTGGCGGTTAAAGGGGTGTTAAGGGGTTTCAAGACATATAAGGTCAATAGGGCCATTGAACTAAGTCCATTCACCTCCAGACACTCGTCCTGACATTCATACAGGGGCGGTTATAGGATTTCTTAAGGTGGGGGCCAATCAGCTTTCAGCTGGTGCCAGCACCTGTATGGCCCCACCTCTATTTATACCTGTCACTTACAGAATATGCAAATGACATGCAAAGTGCATGCAAATTAAATATATACCGACAAATGATATTTGAGAGATGACTGTGACTCTTTAATCTGTGCCTCTCGCCCCCCGCTGTCTTATTCCCCGCAGAGTACGACTTGGAGCCCTGCGAAGACCCCGGCGTGCCCCCCGACAGCAGCCGCAAGGGTCTGCAGTTCGGAGTGGGAGACTCCCTCATCTTCTCCTGCTTCCCGGGGTACCGGCTGGAGGGGCCGTCCCAGGTGACCTGCCTGGGGGGGCGGCGGCGGGTGTGGAGCTCCCCTCTGCCCAGGTGTGTTGGTAGGTGGTCACGTGCTTTCATTTTGCTTGGTTAACATTATAACCCCCCCCCTTCAAATACTTTGTCCAGCCCTGCCTGCAGATAGAGAAAGCCTGACTTTGACGGTGCATTCTATTTGCTTAGCAGACGCTTTTCTCCGAAGTGACATACATTGATGAGAAAGCAGGGTCACCCCTGCAGCAACTGGGCTTTAACAGCCCTGCTCAAGGGCCCGATGCTGAGATCTCTCTTCTGACGGTGGGATCTGAACCAGCGCCCCTACGGTGACAGACAGCATCCTAACTCACTGATCCACCCCCAGTATGAGAGATACTGTTTTCAGTGGGGCCCTACACAACATGGGACAGCAGAGAGATAAAGACCTGTGCTCCTCGCTGTCGCTCATATTTTTGTCTTTCATTTGTTGACTGTTTAAAGGGTTGTAGTTTGAAGCAGTGGAACCAGAGTTTCACCAAACTCTAATTTAAAGTTTGCAGTATTTTATTACGGAATACCTTGCAGGCCAGATTTCTCAAAATCACCAAGCAGCGGAATTGCTCGAGGTGCTAGACTTAGAAAGTAATTTGTTAATGTTATGACAGTTGAAGCAATAATTAAGTTTAATGTATTTATTTTTTTCCCAGCACTGACTTCCTTATGGTGCCTGCAAATATTGTTTACGCTTCTCCAGGAACTCGGTCAGGCTGTTTCTATATAAGTAAATATTTGAAATAGCTTGTTGAGTGTGTCTGTTATGAGTTTCTCTGTTACACCCTCGTAATATTTGAGTATCAGTTTTAAACACGTTAAGAGAAATGCAATTTGTAATAATAATATGTCCAGGAGAGGGTGATAATGGAAGTAGGCAGCGTTCACAGAGATAGGTTCAGCTAAGCAATTTAGAGGAAGTCTTTTATCGCAGCTGAAAGAAACAATCGCCCCGGCAACACGAGCAGCGTCTACATGTCGGCTGCAGGTGTAGATCAGGGCCACAGAATCCGGCACCTGGCTCTGAACTGCCCGAATAGTGCAATGAATTTAGTAATTCACCTGAATTAGGAGTAATTATGCCCCAACCATGCAATCGAGGTTCTAAGCGTGACATACCTGCAGTCGTATCTGCAAGTGCTAAGCTGTAAATCTGCTGAGTTAGAGCTGTGTCTGTACTTTTTTCCAGCATTTATTACTCTGCTATGTAATTTCTAGGCGGGCTGTGGCTCCAAAGTAATGTACCCCTGCATGCAAGGCCAGGTGCATGTATGAGTGTGTCTGGATGTGTGTAAACCTCCCCCCCCCACCACCACGCCCCGCACCAGGACCTGACATGGCTCCTCTCTCCCCATCCCAACAGCGGAATGCGGATCCTCCGTGACTGGCACCCAGGGGGTGCTTCTCTCCCCCAACTACCCGGCCTACTACGGCAACAACCACGAGTGCATATACTCCATCCAGACACAGCCGGGCAAGGGCATCCAGCTGCGCGCCAGGGATTTCCGTCTTCAGGACGACGATGTTCTCAAGGTGATGAGTGGGGCAAGGGGCTGTGTGGCAGCTTGGGGGGGTCTTTAAGGGAGTCTCATTTTCAGCAAGGTTTGCAAGTGAGGCATCTGAACTTGCTTTGCTGAATGAGATCGTAAAGTGCATTGTTGCCAGATCGGAGTGCCTGGTTTGAAGAGAGGCTGATAAATTCCCTCGCGTCCGCTGCGTCGCGATGGCGGCCACGCGCAGGTTTACTCACGCCCTATCTGTGTGCCAGGTGTACGACGGCAGCAGTAACAGGGCCCGTTTTCTGGGCACCTTCACGGGCACGGAGCTGCTGGACACGGCCCTGAACAGCACCTCCAGCTTCATGTGGCTGGAGTTCATCAGCAACTCCGAGAACACCAGCAAAGGCTTCGAGCTGCACTACAATAGTGAGTGCCGTCCCACCTCCGCAGACTCGACAGGATGTCGCCTCGATCTGTAGCCCCCCCAGCATTAGAGATCTGGCAGGAAGTAACTTTGTATTGGTACCAACTGAAACAGGAAGTGATCTCTAGCCATCTATCAGGTTCCATCTGGCCGGAACTAACCTGTACACATAGCTCTGTATCCATAACGATCAAGACAGGAAGTGACCTCTATCTGCAACTTTCCATCTGCATTACCTTGGCAGGAAGTGACCTCTTACTTTCAGCACCGAGCACTCAGGAGCTGACCTGTATCTGTAACTCGGTATCAGTACCAGCCGTGGCGGGAGGTGACCTCTATCTGTAAATCTCCATCTGTACTACCTTGGCAGGCTGGGAGCTCTTTCTGAATTGATGCACTCCCCCTCCCTGCCCAAGCCATACAGAACTGATGTCATTCTGTAGGTGTCTGTGGCCGTGGGCCGCGGCGGCCCAGTCCGGGTAACTTCCGGAGAATGGTTACGAGGGCAGTGATGAAGAATCATGAAAAAACAACCTATGGATAATTGAATGCTAACTGGTAGCTCTATATAAATAAAAGCCCAAGTTATATCTGGGGTTGTTTAAAACTAAAGGTTATATCAAAGGCAAACAGACCAGAGGCACATTTAAATGAACAGAGGCCCCCAGGCTGTTAGAGTTGTCAGATCCCCCACCCACTATTTTGTACGATGGTGTAGTTGACTACTGGTGTGGGGGGGTTAAAATGTTACTGAACAGAGTTAGTTGAGGTGCCTTTTTAGGCCAAGGCTCCTGACCCATGGCAGAATCACTGGCGGCTTCTGTGACACACAACTATTGAGATTCGGACGATTGCATGTGAATCTCGGACATGCAGATCCGTAAGGCCAAGAGACGGATATGGCCACATGTGCCCACAAGGAGAGGATGGTAACACAGGACGGGCACAGCATGCAGAAGGTCAAAGCACACATTTTATACTGCATCTCTGCTCCTAATTCATTAATTGAATGAGCTGGCAATGAAATGTGATGAATACATGGAACAGCGGAGGTGCTCTTGAGGAGGAATTTGGGAACTGAACAGGGGTTCAACTAGCCATCCAACTGGGAATCAGTAACTTTTTGAAGAACAGAAGGTTTTTTTTTTTTATTTGTGTTCCTGTTAATGTTAAATTAGGTTGTTTTTCTGTGCAAACATACACTTACTACCCAGATAAATAGCTTTAAACATCATTTCCTTTGGAATGCCTAAGTCACAGTGTACTGCACACTCCTCGGCCAGGAGAACCCGAGGTTGTTGAGGAAGCGAGGCAGTGACACTCTCCCCCTGTGCCCCCCGCGGCAGGTTTTGAGTTGGTGAAGTGCGAGGACCCCGGCGTGCCCCAGTTCGGCTACAAGCAGGATGACCGGGGCCACTTCGCGGGCAGCACCGTGTCCTACGGCTGTAGCCCAGGCTACACGCTGAAGGGCAAGGAGGTGTTGACGTGCCAGAGGGGGGAGCGGCGGGCCTGGGACAGCCCCCTCCCCCTCTGTGTGGGTAAGCCCCGCCCCCTTCGACGCTCCACAGCACCCTTTAAACCCTAATCCATAACCATGAAACATAGCTTTTTTCCCTCAACTCTACCTCATTATACTTCATTGACACGCCATCAGAAGATTCTTCTGAGGCAAAAAGGGCAAGACCCCATCTGGGGTCTCTGGTGGCAAGTTCCGACCTTGAGCAAGGCGAATTACTTGGGGAACAGGTGCTGTAATGCTCTGCTGGAGTGGCTATGTCCTGGCAGTGAGACGCGGGGCTTAAGCTGGCCACGCCTGGTGAAAAGGCGCTCTTTTAGTGGAAGGCCAGGCCGAGGATCTGTAATGTGTTTCCGTGACTCCTGGAGGAGGTCATCACTGGAGCTGAAGGAGATGGGTCTGTTTCATATTGATTTATAACCCTGCTGTCCACAGTCCGACATTTGTCTGATAGGATCCCGGCAAAGGGAAAAAAGAAAGAAAGAAAGAAAAATAAACCTGAAAAAAAGATCAATTTGATCAAAGCTCTACAGGACATTTGATTTATGCTTTCTTGTTGAGTTTTCTTTTTTCTCTCTCTCTTCTTCTTGCCTGTGTTTTTTAGGCTTTTAAAGTTGGAAAAGGCCTTGTGCACTTTTGGTTCCTGAGGATGCCTGGATTATTGCAAAGGGCTTTTTATATTCATTTTTTTTCATTTTATTTTTCCAGTTTGACAGCAGATGTAATTTAGAAGATTCACTGGAATTCCTACTTATACCATACCTAGGAAGTGTCTGTACTGAGAACTGGAGTAGATCCAGAGTGCAGTGCTCTGGGTGGGAACTTGTTCTGCTTTGTTTAAATGGAAGTCGGTGGAATGGTGTACCTCGGAGTGAAAATACGAGAGTGTGATGTGGTGATGTGCTTCCTGGCATACCTTGGAGTGAAATTGCACAGGGGTGATGTGGCAGCATGCTTCCTGGTGTACCTTGGAGTGAAAATGTATGAGGGCGTTAAGTGGCGGTGTTCTCGCTCCCTCTCGCTGCTTGCCAGTGACTCACTCCCGACTCATTTGGTGAGACACAGAGAGGTGATGAATCTCCGCACCTCCGGCATTTCGCTGAGACAAGGTCAGCGGCAAGTCAGGTCTGTGTCTCCCATGTAACATTCCCTCTAGGCCATGCCGGGGTGGGGGTGAGCGGGGCGGCGCGGCCACCCACCCATATCACCAGTATTCAGTGGCGGCATCTTTCTTCTCAAGCTGTGTTTAGTTCCTGCGTGATTTCTGTAGGTGTTAAGCCTTAAAGTACCATCCGTGTGAAGGCAGGAAGGCACCATATGCTGTTTCCGGTGGGGTGCTGCACACTGATCGCTGATCAAAGTCAGTATCAGAATCAGCTTCATTCCCCATGGACGGCCCCAGTACGAGGGATTTGTTTGGGTCACATTCAAGTAAAATTACAAAAATAACATAACATACAGTGATAACCATCCAGCAATGTAGAGCACAAAAAAGTAAGCAAAACAAAACATTTGGTTTAGGTACAATGGGACAAACCAGCCAGAACAGCCCAGTGCAGAAATTATAATATTTAAGAAAAATATATATAATGAATGAGTAATGAGGAAGATGGGACAATAGTGTGATTTTGTATGACATATGACCTGACAGCTTGATCCGTCCTGTCTGACTCCTCACTGACTGTCTCTGTCCCCCCCCCCAGCTGAGTGCGGAGGTTTCATCAAGGACGAGCCCACTGGACGGATACTCTCTCCCGGCTACCCGGCCCCCTACGACCACAACCTGAACTGCATGTGGACCATCGAGGCCGCGCCAGGGAGCACCATTGGGTCAGTATCCCCAGTGACCAGCTCTCCCAGTCTTCATCACTTCAGATATGGAGGAAGATCTGATTGTGGGAACCTCCGCGAGAGAGGAGGGGAATTTGAGTCGGTTTTAGTGCTACCTCTGAAGACACATTCCTATAAATTGTTTTCATGTTAAAAGCGCAGGGAAATTAGCAGTTATCCTCTTTATTGTAATTCTGTACTTCGCGACGATAATCATGACTTCCAGAGTAATTGTCCTCCTGGAATCTGTAGCAGAGCTTGGCAGCTTGGGTGAATCTCCCATGTGTCATTTCAGCCTGTAGTCATCTGGTCTCCACAACGTGCCCGTTCAGTGTCCGGACCTAATTCATACAAAGGGGATAACTTTTTCATTAGCAAATGATATGTTTTGAATCAGTGAGTGACAGGGAAAAGGGCCAGTCAGCTTTCACCTCTGGACCCACCCCTGTATATGCCCCCACACCTGTTACATAGATTGAGTACAGATAATCTGCAGTAGTCGTAATTAGCATGTTCCTGAAGCACAGGGTACAGTTATCCATGTCTGCTTCACTGAAACTGCTGGTTCAGTTTATTTCATGCTCAGCTGTGTACTCCCAGGTAATTTACTGCTACCTGAGTGCAGAGAGGCTGCCATTTTTTGGTGTCTCTATTGTCACTTCCTGTAACCAACCGAGGGGTGTGTTCTGGGCTCTGAAATCCGGCGCCGCTTGAAGTGCCATCAGATGCTTAGGTGCTGTCAGCTGCAATCTTTGTAAGAGAAAACAAAAATACAGAGACAGAAAGAGAAATGCCCCCCCCCCAACGGTTCTTTAATGGGAAGGGATGACAAGGCAGGGAGTGGGCCTTTGTTTTCCTTGGAGTTTTGCTGGACACAAATGTGTCACTGCAGGAATGACAGAGCAGACCAGCAATGAGTAGGGACAGGAAAATGTCTGTGTGTGTGTGTGTGTGTGTGTGTGTGTGTGTGTGAGAGAGAGAGAGAGAGAGAGAATGCTACAGTACACCAATGTAAAATAAGGATTCCTTCTGAATCTGAAGACTGGGGAAACCAAGTCCATACTCTAATTCTGCAGACAGCTATTGTTTTTAGAAGTTTTTCTTTTCCATGATTATTTTTATTACTCTATAATCACAGTGTCCTACAAGGACAGAGTCTTATAAATGGAAAATTGCAGCATTTGTGAGACAAACTGGTAAGACAGCCAGATGGTCTCTTAATGTTTTACAATCGCCCGTTTCATTCGGTGAATGACTAGAAGCTGATCTGTCCATATGAGCTGCATCTGAGTCAGGCAGACGGTGCGGAAGATGGCTGACATTCTAGAACTTTCTTGCCCATGATGCGGGGGGATAAAGTGAAGAGTAAACAGCAGGTCAGCCCGGGGGAGGATGACCACACAGGCCCAGCGGAGAGCAGAAGCTGGAGAGCCGGGTCCGAAAGGCAGCCGAGTTCACAGAGGATGAGCTGGAAGTCGAGGGCGGGACTTGGGAGGGGGGAGTGTGCTGCTGGTGTCCTTGGGGGGGGGGGAGGGGCGACGGTGCGCCTGCATTATGGATGCAGGTTAACCAAAAAATATATCCCGCAGTCTGCTTTCCGTAGCGAGGGTCGTGGGGGTTAACTCGAAAATTTTCTCCCACTCCTCTTGCCCCCTGTGTACATAAGCCCAGAGTGAGACGTGCCTATGTACCCCTTTGATCACATCTTGTGTAATCAATTATTAATGATCATCTGCAATGCATAAGTCCGAGGTGGCCAGGCCGTGGTGCGTGGGAGGGAGGGGGGCCTTTGGCGTCATCGTGGCATCCTGGGGTACCCCGCCGCAGGACTGCGTGTGCTGACATCTCCACCACCCCCACAAGCAGTGGCGATAATTACCCCATACGCTCGTCAGCCGCTCTGCAGGTAGGAGGCTTTATTTCCGGGCTCCATGGATTAGATGTTCCATAAGCTCCAACCCTCCCCCCCCCTTCCCCAGTCTTGCTGGATTGGCTCATTGGTAGAGCAGTGGAGAAAGCTCCAGAATTAACACATCTCTGCCCCCCCCGAACCTCAGCCCCCCCGTTCATGTGTTTATTTTGAGCTTCTAAAAACAGAGCCAGCTCTCTGTGTGCCGAGCACAGGCCGCTGTTGTTATTTAGCCGAATGACAGAGGATGGGAAGTGTGTCTCGGAGTGAGCAGTGAGAGCACTCAAGGGTCATTGATCCACCCAAAAAAAAAATGCAGCAAGGCCAAGGAGGGCAGACTTGTTCATGTGACTCCAGGTGGACCATGTGACTCCAGGCGGACCATGTGACACCAGGAGGGTGAGCGGAACCTGGGTCTATTACAGCTCTCCACTCTCAATCATGATTTAATGCACAGTGTGTGTTTTTTATTCAAAACTGCATGTATTTTATCTGATAGTAAAATACATTTTTTGGCCCTTGTAGGGCCTTTAAAAAAGTAATTTTGCAGCACCTACATGTCTGGTAGGTACAATTTATAGGAATGTGTCTTCAGAGGTAGCACTAAAACCATCTGAAATGCTCCTCCTCTCTCGCGTGGGCCCCACGATCAGAGGTGTCTCTGTTTCTCCTTGCGTGCTGTCCAAACCCGCTCCCCCTTCCTCCCAAGGGACCACTTTGCGTGGTGTAGGAATTGATGGGTCCTGCAGATCGGGCCTGTATGGATTTACTGAGGAGGGAGCGTGGATCTGCTGAATCAGGCCATGGAGAGCTCTTTATAAAAAGCCATTCTGAAACAAAGTGTATTTAGATGACTATCAATAATGGAGCCACTGTGGGTCAGTGACTGTAAAGCCCCCTCCTTCCTGCTTTATCTGAGAAATGCTGTTCATTTAAAACTTCTCTTCATTTAGTTCATGGGTGGATCCGCTCGCTGGTGTTCCTTGTTGGATGCTTGGGTTCAAACTTGGACGTCTTAATCAGAATGAGGCTGTGTAGGTAGGAGGAGCCTGAGGAATGTGCTTCACGCTTTTCTCGTCGTTCCTGTTGTAGCTGCACGGTTCCCAAGGGCAGGATCCACTGTCGCTCGTGTGTATTCCCTGTTTGTCACTTACAGCCTTTGCCACTATATCCCTGCATTTTCTCATCTATGTATCACTCCTTGCTAGTGCTGGTGCCTTAGCCCCCCAACCCCCCAGTCCCCCCCCAAAAAAAAAAAATTAAATAAAATCACGTAAAGATGGTAAAAATGAACGATTACCACATATTGTGTGAGCACAGCTGAGGTGTTTTTGGCTTTCTGTGCTCTGCTGCTGCTTGATAACTGTCACCCCCCCCATCCCCGGTCAACGACTTACTGTTGCTGCTCTCTCTCTCCCCCCGATGGCATCTCAGTAATGTCACTGCTGTCCCCCAACCCTCCCAAGTTGAAATCTTGGGCCCGGCTGTCAGATTTTGGCTCCGACACTGGTCTCCGAACCCCCCCCCACATACACACACACACAAGCAGTACTCTAGCATCTGTCTGGCCTTGCTGATTTTTTCTGGTGCATGGGGGGCCAGAGTGCGCCTCAGAATGCCGGAAGGTGGCACGCGGGGCTGGCTGGTGCCGGATACAGGAGAACTGGCCATTCCCCATTGCAGCCGCACAGCGAGGCTGCATCGCATTTTGAGCGTGTTGCATCACCCTTCACTCTGCTCCGCTCGCTTTTTTGTTCTATTTTTCATGGCCGCGTTTGCACCGCACAGTCCGCTGCAGGGCACAGCGGGGCTCCGTGTGATACAGGCAGCGTGATGTCCCTCTCTATTTGTCGGCCGTTGCCGGCGGCGTGGTCCGGTGGGCGGGGCTTATTCCGGGCGTGCACGACTCACCTCCCGTTTAAAATGCAAATCTGAGAGTCGCTCCACTTCCACCGCCGCCGTCACCCAGGTCCGCCCCCGTCCGCGGCCGGGGGAATATCGCGATCCGTTTGAAGCTGTGAGAAGGGGCTGAGAGTATAGGAGGGGATGAAAGGAAAGCGGGTGGGGGTGGGCGTGGGGGCGGGGGGATTAATTTAGTGAGCCTGGAGCCTGCATGATGAAAAGGGGCCCATGTGCCTTCCCCAGGTCTGAGAGGCTGCCTGCTCGCCAGCATGTCTAAGTGGCGCCTTGGTTACCATAGATATAAGCCAGTATCCCTTTAAACCATCCTTTTAAAAATATCCATTATCCAACAGCTTGTCCTGGACACGATCCTGAGGCGTGCGGATGAAATATCAGGTGTTTAGGAAACAGACATATATTTGAGGAGACAAAAGTTACTACCACTTACCTCAAAGATGGGCGGAAAAAGGATCATAAATATTCCAGAAACTTTTAAGGAAAGATGCTAAATATAAGCGTCGGTGTGTGGTTCAGAAGATTAGGCGTCTTTGCCTGTGATCAGAAGGTTGTTGGTTTGAATACCATCTTGAATACTCTAATGTTCTTTGGGCCCTTGAGCAAGGCCCTTAACCTTCCCCCTAAAATGCTTCCGGGGAGTGGCGGGGGAGGGGCAGATAAATAGCTGACCTAGAGTTGGGCGATATGGCCTAAAAATAAAATCTCCGATTTTTTTCACAATAAATCCGATTTTCTATTTTAATCGATTTTCCCCTCCCCTACTCAAATTGAAACTACAGATGACAAATAATTGGTTAAAAACAAGTTTTAACTTTATTTATTTTACTTTAGAGTTGAGGTGCAATCTGACAAGCCAAAAAAGATGCTTGTAAGTGAAATGGCAGACCACGCCATTGTAAACACTTTTAGAAACTTGTAAAAACTTTTAGCATGTTAATGAATCCCGGCGTTTCCACAGTATGTATGGGCACCATGTCTTTTGCAATATACTTTGCGACAGCTTTTGTTATCGCCTTCCACCGTGCCCCATTCTTGTCACATGGCACACAGTTCGAAAACGTGTCAGGGACGGTTGCTTGCTTAACTTTGGATGTTGTGCTGGTGCTGCGGCTATTTTCATTTCGCTGGGAGCTGCACTTCTCCCACTCCGCTGTGTGCCTCTGCTTTAGGTGCTGGAATAAATTTCTCGTGCTGCTTCCTTTGGTTGCAACAGTTTTTGAACAGACTTTGCAATGAGGACTTGTTTGGTCTGTGTCCGACGGCGCAAAACCGAACCATTGCCATGTTGTTTGTGAATCCGCTACAGTGTTTGGGTGCGCCGCGCTAAATTATCCCGTGAAGAACTGTGCGTCACATTAGTTCCGCTTTTGGCGCTCGCGTATAAAATAAGTAATAAAATCTATTTTCATAAAAACACATCGTTCTGAACTGTAAATTCGAAATAATCAATAAAATCGATTTATCACCCACCTCTAAGCTGACCCTGTGCTTGGATCGCATATCTTATCTATATGTATGTGTGTTTGTCTTACAAAGGACAGGAAGATGGGTTATGTGAGATAATGCCTCTCAATGTACCTGTACACATTTCATATTTTGATTCACTATTTAAATTTTTTTTTTTTGTGACAAAATCAGTAATTGATAATTGGTCACGTCAATGTGGGGAATCTCAGCTAATCACTTGTCAGTTGTTTAATTTGGGATGCTGTGGTCAAGTCCTCTGCATGTCGACTCTGCATGTTATTAGTGAGACCCGTGTTCTGTCTGTCGTCACAATGATTGGTGACAGGTGTTTCACCTGCACTTCTCTGTAATGGTGCGACAAATGTCGCTTTGAAACCCATAACGAGTCTGAGGCTCTATGTGAAGTCACTTGCTGCCAATTTTAACATAATTGCAACCAATGAAGTAAAGAAATAACTTGATATGATAATTCTACCATCTGCAGGTTCCAAAGCGTCATTTTTTTCTCACTGCTATCATTAAGGTCTCAGCGAATGGGAGAGTAAATGAGACAGCAAGCCGGCGAGTCTGTGGCCATTCTGCACGAGAGCCGCTGGCTTTCAGGTCACCATAGAGATACACCATTTGCTGTCTCGAAAAAGATGTTTGGACACTAGCTATTACTGATGTGCCGTACTTACGGACCAATTCTGAAAACGACTCTGAGCGTGAGTGAACCCATGTGTGCGGAGTAGCCAGTCTCATAAAAAGTCAGGTATGATGGAGGATCCAGAGCTTGTGGAGTGTAGACAGCCCGTTGTTGCTGAGAATACAGCATGGTGCAGCCTCTCGGCGTGACGGATAATAACTGTGGAAAGTGATCTCATGGACCATCCGTGGTTATCAGTCTGGCGGTGTACAGTCCTGTCTAGTGGAGAATGTATTATCACATATGGACAGTCCATAGCCATAGGTAACCTGCCCCATGCAGACTCCTTTGCTCATCTGGCTTTCCTTCTTTCTTTCTTTCTTTCTCTGTTCTCTCTCTCTCTCTCTCTCTCTCTCTCTCTCACACACTCTCTCTCTCAGTTCTCCAGTTTACCCCTGCAGTCTAAAAAATATGTTGAGGATAATTGGTGTTACCAAATTGTGTGTGTGTGTGTGTGTGTGTGTGTGTGTATACGCGTGCCTTGTGATGGGTTGGTGTCCCATCCAGGGTCGTTCCCTGCCTTGCACCCATAGCCTCCAGGATAGACTCTGCCCCCCCTACGACCCTGAAGGGGACATGCGGTTACAGAAAGTGAATGGACTGCTGGATGTATGATCATTGCAGTATCCAGCACATCTCAGGCTGTCACTCCTGTCTGTCTCTCCTTGCCTGCCCATGGCCGTGTCTGCTGCTCCCTTGACCCTCCCTCCTGTTCACCTTGCTCCTCAGTCTCCACTTCCTGGTGTTCCACACGGAGGAGGTGCATGACGTGCTGCGCATTTGGGACGGCGCCCAGGAGGGCGGGATCCTGATGAGGGAGCTGAGTGGCTCCGCCCTGCCGGTCGATGCCCACAGCACCTTCAACTCGGTGACCTTGCAGTTCACCACCGACTTCTTCACCAGCAAGCAGGGCTTCGCTTTGCAGTTCTCCGGTACGGAGGCATGTCACCACATCTCCATTCGTGCATCTGTATGTGCGAGTCGACGGCTGTATAGCTATAGAGAGATGCACGCATGCTCATTTCCATTTCAGCTGCACAAATGTCAGACTCAATAGGAAGTCTCTGCAAAACTAGAGCTTAAAATGTGTGTCACTGTTTGTCTGTGTTTGTGTTTGTATGTGTGTGTGTTTCGGAGATGGATGGGTAAGTGTGGGACTGCCTAAGCACACATCTGCATAGGGGCATTTGTGCATGTTCGGTGTAACGCGACAATGTAAACAAGTCGCAGGATAATGAGCAGAAGATAATGCAATACAGACAGTCACATTAGTAGTAAATCTTCACTGATATCCTTTCATATTAATGAAAGAAAGCTGCTAAAATGGAATCTGGGAGCTTTCAAAAATACAAGGTAGAACAAATTCCCAGCAATGGCTTCTGAGCAATTAAGTCAGATAGAATTAAGCTACTCTTGTGCATAACCAAAGGAAAGAAAAAGAAGAATTTCTTGGTTGAACTAAGAAAAGTCTTTTCTTGATCTTGAGCGCTCTCCCTCTGTGGGGAAGGGTTACCCAGCTCGGCCAGGGTTGGCGCACTGCCCCTGTATTCAGGGGTGAATTCGCGAGCACCCAGCCCAGTCTCACCAGATGATACCTGCCTCACACCATGCAGATCTCAGACTGTCCCCAAACCCAGCCCTTCCTGAGCCACACCGCCACACAAGCCATTTCTAAGCTTTGTTCCAGACAGGGATTTGTTTGTTTTCTTACATACGCTGATGAATATTAAAGTAAGTTTCATCTGCTTCTGCATCTATTATACAGGAACCGACAAGCTGAATTTGATTTCACTTGCTCAAACACCAGAATTTATCTCTGACAGTGTGGATGGTTGTCATTTTTAATGTATTTGTCCATATTTTAGTCAGCATATAAAATGTCTGTAAATGACAACCATCAAATTTAATTATTCCATTTTTAATTCAGGCAATTATGACAACGTTGAGTAAGATTACAGTAGGTGGAGGTTACCTGTGCGTCAGTAACTTGAATGTCACCTGCCAGGTAGTGACGGTCTGTTACCCCCCCCCCATTCCCCACTGACGGATCTGTTTATGGCATGTGCTCTAAATTAAAGTGCTCTCCTCTGCGTTTCAGCAGATCTCGGATTGCTAAGCTGCTCTGTATACTGACAATTATATCCATTTATTTTACTCTCCACTGCATGGGGCTGCTCTGTCGCAGTCCTCCAAGTCTCATCTCCATGGGGTGTAAGCTCTCAGTCTGGTGGGACGTCATCTGCTCACCATAAGCGTGCTTTCAGCTATGGATCCGAGTCAGACGAGCACCTTCAATAAAAATAAAATAATAAATAAAATACCTTAAATTAAAGTCACTGCATTATACATAGGATGATATTTTTTTATAATTAATATAAGTATCAGAATCAACATATACCTAAAATATGTTTCCCAGGAACAAAAGGATATTGAGAGCTGGTGAATAGCCATTCTCTCCATGTTCTATATGTGATACATTGTTACATCTGTTGCTTTTATCCAAAGTGACTTACAGTAGGGAGAAGGGTTACATTTTAGGTGCGGCCTGGGATTTAACCTTGATGGGGGTCGCAGAATGTGCCGTTTGTTGAGCTACAGGAGCTGAGCAGTATGTTCTGGAGGTGTGTTTCAGTGTTACACAGCAGGTAGGTGTGGCTGTGTGTGGCTCCTTTATAAAGACTAGCCACTTTGTCTCTCCAGTCTCTACCGCTACTTCGTGTAATGACCCGGGCACACCGACTAACGGAACACGCAGCGGGGACAGCCGGGAACCAGGGGACCACGTGCTGTTCCAGTGTGATCCCGGATACGTCCTGCAGGGGGCGAACAAGATCACCTGCACGGAAATCAACAGCCGCTTCTTCTGGCAGCCCGACCCTCCGACTTGCTCAGGTGACATTCTGCTTGTCTCCGTGTCACCGTCTGCCCCAGCTTGAGACCGTATTTCACTGGCACATCTCCTCGTGAGGTCGTCATCCGGTTAAAAGTCACATTCATTCACAGAAATGTCAATAACTAATATATTTGCACAGCTCTGGATTAACTTGGATCTTAAGTGCTGCCTTATAGTACATTTGGTGTCTGATTTGCACCCATAAAATCAGTCTGGATTAATTGACTCCTTGATAATTATTGCAATAATGCTTGGAGAGCACACCCCAAGGACAAGGAGGTCAGAGGACTAAGAAAAAGTGGGGCAGCCCTTTTTTAAGAAAAAAATTCTATAGTATTACTGGTCATACTTTTAGTGTAGTGTAGTCTAGAGTCTTATTTTTAGTAGACATGTTAAAGAAACATTCTTAGTTATACAGTATTAATTAAATGTCACTATAATGTTGGTATTTCTCTGCATTTTAAACAAAAGATTATAATTTATCAAGCTTGGATTTAATTAAAAAAGTATTTGATAAACTGAACTCAACTCGGTGTGAAAGCGGTCTGCATTTTTGAAATTCTTGTGAAGAACAATTATTCTAAAATCGCAATTAGCCCACTCGTTTTGTTAGGGGTTCAGCTAATTTATTTAAAGGCTTAGCTGTACGATAAAAGCAAAAATTCTCCGGGCTGTGGCGGAGAGGTGAAAAGGCAGCGGTGGGTGCAGATCAGGCTCTGAGCGCGTGAGCATGCAGGAATAGCACTTTCTGCACTACAGCATTTAACCTTCACTAGCTGCAGTGCTAACGATGAATGAATGACTGGATGAATGAATGAAAGGGTACTTTAACGCTGCCGGCACTTTGTTCTAGAAACAGGGACTTACGCTGCAGGAACTCCGCCTGACTGTAGTTCCTATTAAAAGTCTCTCATGCTTATTTACCATAAAGCACGTTGGGATCCGTACAGACCACCGGATGGGCTAACCTGTTGGCCACACCAACACCTCTTCACCAAATAATCTGCAACATCTCTTAATTTGGCTTTAAATTCTATATAAAATAAAGATTGAGAATGTTTAATTATTAGGATAGAACATCAGTAGGCTTCCTGGAGCTTCAGCAAGAGATCTTCGAGGTCCATGTCCTTCAGCACCACGACCCTCGGCTCTCACAGCTAGAGCTGTTGCCTGATGGTCCTTTGTCTCCCGTTCGTCTGTTGCTGGCACTTGGAGAAACTCCTTGCAAGTCCCTGCTTGTGTGGTGCTGACGTCTCCGTGTCGCTGCAGCGCCCTGTGGCGGGAACCTGACAGGCCCAGGGGGCATGATCCTCTCCCCGGAGTACCCCGAGCCATACCCACACGGACGCGAGTGTGACTGGACGGTGACAGTCACTTCGGATTACGTCATCGCTCTCACCTTCACCCAGTAAGCTTCGCATTACACACGGCTGTTTTCCTGTCAGTCATGTACCTTCAGGTCTAAATAATTCTATTATAAGTTGTGTCTATCAAAGGACAAAAGGCCCTGATATATACTGGAATCCAGTTCAACATGTCCCCTGCATCATCACCTCTGTATTTAGGGATAGACTTCAGGCCATTTGTAAGCATGTATTGCTTTGGTAGTTATGGAAATAGGATTGCACTGGTGTTCGATTTGTTTGGCTTTGTATGTTCAGACATTTTGTTCCCTATATTATGTCTAAAGTTACATGAAAGTAATAAATGAATTTCCACACGGTCGGACATTGCTCTGCAGGCATGCTAAGGCCTGGATATGCTGCTCGTTTGCCAGGTTCAGTCTGGAGCCAAGTTACGACTTCCTGCACATCTACGACGGGCCGGACTCGCTGAGCCCCCTGCTGGGCAGCTTTTACGGCACCGACGTGCCGGACCGCATCGAGAGCAGCTCCAACACCCTCTTCCTGGCCTTCCGCAGCGACGCGTCTCTCAGCAGCAACGGCTTCGTGCTGCAGTACACAGGTGGGGCGGCACCGCTGAGGCGGGGGGGGGGTCTCGCGTCAGGCTGAGTGAGGTGCTTAGAGGGCCTGTCTCTGCCCTCGAGATTTATCACACCGCTTCTGTTCTGGGAGGGATGGTGGGGGGAGGGGGGGTATTTTCTCTATTTTAGGATGCATTGCTGATGCACACAATAGTACGCAGATAAGGAAAAGTGAGAGTGAAAATCCGGTTTTTGCACACTGTGCTGTTTTGTTAATTGTTAGTCTTGTTATTTGAATCTATTTATATTGTGCCTGTAATAGCCTGGGTGTATGTATGTGCTGCTGTAATTTCTGCAGTCTATCTATCTATCTATCTGTCTGTCTATCTATCTATCTGTCTGTCTGTCTGTCATCATACAGGTATACAGATGTGTGTACACATACTTACCATTGAAATAATATTACAAATGCATATGAAAATCTTCAAAGCTATAATTGTTTCTTCTTCATATCCGTGGCTATTAAACGAGGCCATTACTTACCAAAGAGCATAAAAAGGTATCACAGCGCAAGGCTGCACCCCGTCTCTCAAAGCAGCGTGTTCCATTTAGCTACGGGTCAGCCTGGACGACTTCAGGCGCAGCCGCCTTCTCATCAGCAGCTCGGCGAATGGGAACCGCAGCGAAAGGTCGGCTGTTAGCCAATGAACAATGAAACAGGCAATTTGGCCAAGCTAATTGCAAAGCATGAGAATTGGGAAGGTTGCCAGATATTTCTCTTTAAGGATCAATTGTATGCATTAAGTCCCATCAATGTTTCCTCCCCTATTAATTGTGTGTCCAGTCAATGTGATTTTTAAGATGGTCAATTACCGAGAATCAAAATGAGGAGTGTAACTCATAGTCTGTCTGAACTGGTCCCAGTTTGTCCGACTATGGCGTCACTCTTGTGCTTTTCCTATGTGACATGCCCCCTAACACTGCTAGAACAATGTGGTTTATAAAGCATGGAGCTGCCACAGAGCTTGGATGGACTCGGGGGAGGAGTCTGCTTACCAAGGCCCAAGCAAAGGTCTCGTTTATCTGCCGCCATTCCTTCCTGCTAAAACACCATCTATCTTTGCACCACCTCTTGTGCAAATGTAAACGTTGCTAAGTGGAGGTCCGCTGTCGTGTCCGTCTTGCACTGGATCGAGCAGACGGACTCACCTTTGCCAGAATGTTCCTCGGGTCTGGGAGGAGGAGAAGTCGAAAAGGAGGGGTGATGTCACCCCTAAGGGGCTCCAGGCTGTTTTCAGAGACACCATCTGCTGTGCGCTTTATAGGGGGGAAACGGGGCTTTCACAGTGCACCCATCCTGGCTCTCAAACCTGGAGCCAGCCCCAGTCAACCGTAGAAGGCCGGCATATCTCATGGTCATTAGTGTAATCGGCAAGGCGCGTGCTCTCTGCCCTGCCCGGGGCCCGGCCCTACAGCTTCTCACCTGGCATCTGTTTAAATTGTCCTGTTTACCCCACAATTAGCTAAAAAACTGGCCCAAAAAGTGAGATTGCTTCCTTTTTCGAGATAGGGCCATATTTTCTACAGGTTCTTTTACAGGCTTTTGAAGTAAAAATAGTAAAAATAGTAAAAGGTAAAATAGTTTGAAAGGGCGTTGAGTGCTTTTTATCCATCTTCCAAAGTGCTTATCCAGGTGTTCCTTGCTTTTTAATAATCTATTTATGCATGATCACCTTGGTCTCGGGATTTATTGATATATTGATTTTTAAAATAAGTATTAATATTTGTTTCACTTAGATTTCCCTTGATTTATGGAAGGATTTTTCTCTTAAGCCTTGAAAAAATGTAAGTAGAAACATATTTTCTGTAAGTAGTAAGATATTTCCTACACAGAAAACCCACGGGAATCCTGTTTCGAGCCCGGCCCGATCCGGAACGGGACGCGCGTCGGCACCGAGCTGAAGTTGGGCTCCACCATCACCTTCCACTGTGACAGTGGCTACACCATCAACGGAGATACCACTCTGACCTGTATCATGGGGGGTGACAGCAAGCCCACCTGGAACAAACCACGTCCAACTTGCACAGGTAAGGGTCCAGGGTACCAAATGGTGAGGGACTGCAGCACAAACAGCATTGTGGTGCAATTTACTTTTCTGAAGTGGATTAGAGACTTGCACCGGAGTCTTTACAAGACTCCTGTGTTCACATTTCTTGGGAGGTGAAGTATATTTATGTTGATGGTCGCCACAATGCAGCTCTTGGGTTGAACCTTATCTGCTCAGTTTTACTCTGCTGGCTGTTAAAAACACTGCAGTTTCTCTGACCACTGAACCGTATGTCTCTAAGAGCACTAAATCAAACAATAGATGTTGTTCAAGATCATCCAAGCAATGAAATGGATCTACTCTGGTGAAGAGGAAGAGGGGAAAAAACACTGAAGCCTTTGTCTTCTTCGCTGTTTGTGTGGCCCTGTTTCAGCTCCGTGTGGTGGGCAGTACACCGGACTGGAGGGGGTGGTTCTGTCCCCGGGCTACCCTGGTAACTACAGCAGTGGGAGGACCTGCCTATATTCCGTAGTCGTGCCAAAGGACTATGGTGAGCCAAACAAATGGGGGCGTCGGCCATTTAAGGTCTCCTAGGGGCGGGGTTGCCAGCGATGGACTCCTCGCCCATTTCTAATAATGCAGCACATACATTTATGAGCATGCTATGATTTTTCATTGAAGGTTATCATATGAATCAGTGATTGTAGGTGCCTCTTGTCTTGGCACAGTCTGGAGCTGAGCACACAGAGAATGTGGTAACGAGGAAGACTTTAAACTCATGTGCTTGGGCGTCCACATCGCTGTTTCGTCCAGGATCTCATCCAGGAATCACTTTAAACTGTCCGATGGCTCCACTGAGTCTAGAAATGAAGGGATTTGTCTGGAGCCTGTAATGCTGAGTCACTCCATTCCTGGAATTTAAATCGAATAACAGAGACAAAAAAAAATGATGACTGTTCTTATGATGGCCTTTGCAATCTTCAAAGAATCTGGTCAAAAAATATTTTGTTTCTCCCGGTGTGCCTGTGAAAGTGGCAGAGGCGCTGGACCTGCAACGTCTTCTGAGAGCGATTACAGCCGATGACCTGGCAGAAAAACTGCAGGACTGTGACTGTGAAGAGCTGTGGGCACTGACCCCGTCTCTCTGTCCCCAGTGGTGTTTGGCCAGTTCGCATTCTTCCAGACGGCCCTGAATGATGTCGTGGAGGTGTACGACGGGGCCACCCAGCACGCCCGCATCCTGAGCTCCCTCTCAGGAGCGCACACAGGTGAGGGAGACCACCGGGCTAAGCCGCAGTCAAGGCACGTCGCACTCAGGAGTCCAGGTCCGGGGCCACCTGCCTAGATGCGTTACCTGTGTCTCCGGAGCCCGCGCGGTCAGATAAGCGTGCATATCCGGACACACCTGTGCAGCACTGTCTTGTTCTCTCTGCAGGTGCACTAATCCCTTTTCAACCAGGACTTATGTCTTCCTCGTTTCAGAAGATAAAAAAAAACAAGAATAAGCATCATAAGACATTCCTGACCAAACTTTTTCCTTCTCTGTGTGTTTATAGTCAAAGGCCTGAAAAGCTACAAATTTCATATAATTTTCCAGCAAGCCACCACAAGCACATTAGGTGTTAGTCTGGGGAGATATCAAATTGTGATTTATCTGGGTGCCTTTCTAGTGACTAGCCAAGGAAAGGCTAAATGGCAAGCAGAGGTGAAGAGGGACACGATGTAAGGCAAAATCATCTCTGGGAATCTGAAATGGGGAACGGCAGAAGCATTAACCATCATTCAGGAAAAGGTCCGATCTGATACACTTCTCTTTCACGGTAGTTATTGTAGTCCTGACAGGTAAAGAAGTAAATTAATCTGTCTGTCGCCTTGTTGAATCACTGTACAGAAATTCTTCTCAGTTGGCTAGAAATCTTGTTACATGGTTTACTTACCCACAGTTCACCTTGTCCTAATCATAGCTGCAAGGAGAATTCTTTATCTTCATTTACTAAATGAAATCCATAAATAATTCCAGCAGCTGTTTGTTTGGGGCGTTGTGTTAAAACCAAATGTAATAATCAATCGATCTGGTCCTGCATCAGCATGCGGTAGAAAATTGTAAAGCCGTCATGCTATAAAGGCTACTTTATGAAAGCAGTGAGCCACATGCTGCCCCATCGCTCCACAAGCACTCACAAGCCAGTGGACGGCTCCATTACATTTGCTGCCTTTTGAAGGTGAGACGATACGATTTACTGCCGTTTCATTAAGCGATGTGATCATTCCCTCGTTCTGCCGAGATACCGACATCACGCAGAAGTGATATACATGCATGTGATGATATTTATGTGGCTTCCATGTACTCCGTTCGGTTAACCGTAAACCCAGTGATCTAGGATTCAGGTTCATAGAGATGTCTGTTATTTTCTCCCTGTGTTTTATGGCGAGAGTCTTCTCATAAGAAAACCTGCAGAGCACAATCTAGGGTTGACGTCTAGGTCTGAAAAGCCTTTTTATTACCACGGGGGTCAAAGTTTGGATTTAATTTCACTCGAGGATTGGATGTTGTCAGATGCTAATAAATTGGCGACGGGCGTGCAAGCACCAGAGGGATTATTGTCTATCATGATCCCGGCTCGATGCGCGCTCTCTAATGATGGCTGGCGGGGCCCCCGCTCCCATGGCAACAACAGCATTGCTCCTTGCGATCAGGAATGCGCCCACATCCATGGCATAGTTCTCCCGCCTGGCAGGCACCTTGTCAGCATTGAATCAAACCCACCCCCTCACCCCATCAGTAACCCCCCTCCACCAACACCACCACCTCTATCTGGGCCTCAGAAAACCCTCTGCAGATCGATGACATGCACTTCTGCATGACAGCCCATGTCGCTTTCTGAAATGCGGCATCCAGTTCTGCAGGTCAAAGGCTTGTTTTCTCGCCGAAATGCAGTGATGCCATTTGTGTCATGCACGGGGGCATGGAAATGCTGACTTTCAGACGGTGACTGCATTCCATCGCATTTTGATCCCCAGCTTGTTAACATCGCTCGGAAGTGTGGCTCCTCTCGGTTCGTCGTAACTGAAATGGAAATCAGTGGCTTATCCTCATTTGTTTTGTGGGGGATGTGTCCAAGATTATAGCATAGAGAAGGGAAAAAAGGATTAGCACACTTTTAAAAGATAAAAATAAGAATCTTGGCATTGTGAGAAAGCAGTCGGCAAAGCCTGTAGGGTCTGTGTTTTCAGAAGGATGCTGAAGGAGCTGACACTGAGGGTAATCACATATCCAAAAGATGGAGATAGAATCTGCATTGAACTCAAGGACCTAGAAGCTAGCCAAATGCAAATGTTGACTTAAAAAGCTGTAATTGACAGCGGTAAATACTTAGAATGTTGTTGAGTTGCCCCTTGAAGGAGACCAGTCCAATCTCATTACGTGACATTTTGGAAGCACTTGTCTAAGGTCGCTGTAAGTGCTACAGGCTGACATTTCCATGCATGTGTTTGAGGCCCATTTCAGTTTTTTCAGACACCATTACTGGTCATTTCTTGCATTTATGCTTTATTTTATTTTCATACTAAGTATGCGCTGCCATTAGTTTGACAACATTTTGACAAATTCCGATCACTAATCCACAAATGTGTGACTATCCAAAGCGCTGCCTACTTTATTCCATGTATGTGTTGGCTTTGAGCACAATGCTAGAGTTTTCCATAAATACTACCGCAGGGCAGAAGTTACAGAGAAGCTGTTCAGTGTCAGCTTAGACCTTTGCTCGCAAAATCTGCATTGTTTGCCTCTTCCTCCTCTTTATTGTAACCTCACAGGCGAATCCCTGCCGTTGGCCACTTCCAACCAGATACTCATCCGATTTAATGCGAAGGGCCAAGCCACATCCAAAGGATTCCATCTGGTGTACCAAGGTAAACGTCGAAAGTGTAAATAAAGTACTGTAGGTGGTTGTTCTGTGACTGGTTTACGGCACTTCATCATTTTTGGCTTCTAGAAAGAGGACATGTGGTCTATAAGGCATGGTTTTGGAGTATAATGCACAAATTGAATAAACAGGTTTTATATTGTCTGGCTATCAATTGTACATCTAATTTAGCTGCAGGCCGCTGCCTCTTTGTGTCCTTCCGCTCTGGTGGAAGCAGATGATTCATTTAGCCATGCTGATTGTGCCTGCCCCCATTAATAAATGAATCAAACTGCCATTCAGTTTGTCCCCTGCACCAGACCAGTCCTACTCCCCTATCGCTCCGTAATAGATGACCGGCGGTTTAAGAGTGAGAGATAATTTCACCACTTCATTCATGGAGCCGTCCGCTTCCTAATTGAGAAAGATTGCACAGGCCTTGGTTAGGGTGCAGTCAGTGAGCTTCCTTCTCCCTTCTTTCGGCAGCCGTCCCCAGGACCAGCGCCACCCAGTGCAGCTCGGTGCCAGAGCCCCGGCACGGGAGGCGAGTGGGGAACAGTTTCTCGGTGGGTGCGGTGGTTCGCTTTGAGTGTGGCCCGGGCTACGCCTTAGAGGGAGCCAGTGCCATCGAGTGCCTGACGGTGCCCAACGCTTTAGCGCAGTGGAACAGCACGGTCCCCGGCTGCATCGGTACAGTATCCCAAGTGTATATGTCATGTGTGTTCCGAGGGAATTCTTATTGTACTGTTGCAGGGTTGCCACTGGCCACCTGTGTAAGTCAGCATAGTCATCAGAAGTTGGAGTAGAATGGAGAATCCTAGGAAGTGCGATTTTTCTGTATTTCTGTCCTGTGCCCCGTCGTTCATTCCTTATCGCCGCCTTGCTATTTCTGCTCTCGTCATAGTCCCCTGTGGTGGAAATTTGACCGAGCGGACTGGGACCATCCTCTCTCCCGGATTCCCCGAGCCGTACCTCAACAGCCTGAACTGTGTGTGGAAGATCACCGTCCCAGAGGGGTCGGGGATTCAGGTAGGGCTCGGTCCGCTCGCAGCGAGTGCCGCACACTGCCACCTCGGTTCCGGTCTCGCAGCATTTCCACTGGCACCTCCCCGTGTTCGTCCAGATGCCAGCTCGATTCAAAGCCTTGCATAGGTGGCATCCGCTTAGCGGGTGATCGCCTGGCTTCATTTGGAGGCCCGCATGCCTGTGGAGCTCGGGACCCTGTGGCGGATGGATGATCGCTCACGCGGCCTGCGAATCCCCGCCAGCTCAGCCAGCGAGCGATGAGGCCAGCTGGTATTGGCTTTGGGGTCAGCCTGTAAACCTTTGGCCTGACGCTGGTACTCAGACACAACATCATACTGTAAAATATCAACAGCTCTTGCAGTTGCAGTGGATTTTAAAATATGATATTTCATTTGATAAAATGTAGTATGATAAGCGAGAGAGGTGTCAGCTGGTCTGCTTTAGCCAGTGCATTACCTAACTCACAGTGCATTACCTAACTCACAGTGCATTACCTAACTCACAGAAGCCTTATTATTCCATTACCATTCTGGTCCCTGCAAGTAAAATGCACAGCTGTGGATGTTATATCAGTTGTATATGTTGGTGTATAACTTAATTTCTGGTTCAAGGTATTTCATTTCTGTAGGCAGCGATTACAGTGTCAAAGAGAGAATCACAATGTTGCGGTGCTTGTTTTATTGGAATTTTCCTCGTCTTTATTTTAAAGCCAGAATATTCCCATGCAGTTGAGCTGAGAGGAAATCAGGAAATTGTCATCAGAACTTTGCTTTTATTGTCCCAGAGTAGCCATGATACCTGGTCTGAAAACAAAAACTATGCTACTGAAACCTGAGGAATTGAAATGTATTGTCTCAAACTAATGATGCAGCAAGATTCTTTTTTTTACATGCATCCTGGGAAATAATACAAATCAGTTTTAACACCCTTATTACCAGCCTTACTCTTGGCCATAATAGGGAAAATTATCACCACTGTCTGTCCTTGAGATAACAACATACATATTTATACTGCAGAGAAAGCAGTCGGTATGTTAAATAAGGGAGGTGGTTTATAGCAGAATAAGCTTGTATGGGGAAATATCCTTTGGGAAACATGTAAGTTTCAGTGGAATTCTGTCCTTGAAAACATCTGAAGCATTTCAGGACAGTAGAATTGTTCGGAGTCAGTTTGGCTGGTATATCGTTTTTCATACCATACAGTGTACAGTATTTTGACGGAGTCTTCCAAAGCAGTGCTATTCTGTTATCCACAGAGTGACATATTTTATGGTGGGAGACCACCCAAGATTGCCACCAAGATTTCAATATACCGCAGTGTACCCAAAATACCGCAGTGTACCCGAAATACTGCAGTGTACCCGAAATACTGCAGTGTACCCAAAATATCACAGTGTACCCGAAATACTGCAGTGTACCCAAAATATCGCAGGGTACCCGAAATACTGCAGTGTACCCGAAATATCACAGGGTACCGGAATACTGCCCAAGCCTCGCTGAGAGGCAGATAGCAATCGATGACGGTAATCAGATCGGATGTTGCTTGGCACCTGAACCTCTTTCCAAAGTCCTCACTTCCGCTTCAGCTTGTTTTGCTGGACTGTGTTAAACGGTGAGGGTTTTGCACTCTGCCGTGTGTGTTTCGTGATCGCGGACAGCTTGGAGCATCGCTTCGCAAAGTCTCCCATCTGCTAAGGGACACACTACAAAGTTGTAGATGAAAGAGAGGGATTAATTCCCCCTTTTTTTAAGTTGTGAGCATGCATACAAGCGTACTGGATAGTTTTTGATCTGGAAGAGGGTGCCTGTCTTGCTCTATTGTACTAAGTCAGATCTTTGGAATTCCAGACCTAATTCCAAAGAGCACCGTATCTTGTAGATTGCCACGAACCCTTAATTAAAGATTAATCTCATCTGTCTCCTCTGTGGGTCTTTTGATGACTGAAGCTGCCCGCATAATTGCCTCACATCTGATCTATAACCGTTTTGGGAGCCGGCTGCAGGATGCGCTACTTTAAGTGAAGCACAGGCAAGTGGATCTGCCTGATGAGGATGGATGATAAATAACAGCCTGTGCAGAACCTGAATCGCCGGTGCACGAGTGATAAGGTGGATGGCAAAGTAATACCTCTCACTCTTTCTCTGACATTAATTACGTATACCTGTATTTGTCGGTTGAAAGTTTTATATATTGTTATTACCGATTGATAGTTTCAGACCTGGTAGGACCAAGCAATGCACTTTTGGTTTCTGTCACCTTCTTGGCATGAGATTTTTATGGATCTGCTCTGTGTTTTTGCCATGTGTCTTTACGCTAAACAAGTAACACCATTAAAACTTGGATGAAGACTAAATTCTTCAGCACATATGTTGTATGAGTCACTTTTAATGATTGACTGCTACAGGAATCAAACTTAAGCAATCTTGACCCGAAGAAGCCATATAAATCGAATGGAATGGTTGAGGAATTTGTTCTTGGGGTAGGAAATGAGCACCATTCAAAAACAGTCATCTGCTTTTCTGTTGTTTTGCATCTAGACGTATCTAAGATGTGATAGAAATATTTTAAGAAGTGCCAGAGTAGTAAATCATTGTCTGATATTGCAGTTTAACGTGAAAAAGGATTTCAGCAGCAGAGTGATGGAGGATGAAGGAGGATAAAAGGAGCAATTTGTATGCAATCAGACGGGCGAATGGGTTTAAGTGGAGCGTCTACATTTTCATTCAGACGGACCGCTCCCCTGGCATTTCCGAAATGGACATCAGGGTCTTCAGGCTTGGCGCATTGCTGTTTATAAAAATAGAGCTCCCTTTTAGGAACCTGTGTGCAGTAATAACACAAAAATTGGGTTACTCCATGGTGAGACGGCATCGCATTGTGCTCAAGGCGAAGAAAAATCAATAAAAAGAAAATACCATTTTTATGCACGCCATTTGCTCCATCCCTTCCTGGCCTTGTCGCGGGAAAGACATGCTAAAGCCTTCATTTTTATTCACTTTCTTTATTTGTGCACCTGTTGATAGGAAGATGTATGGGATTTCCCTGGGCAGCCCAGATAAGACCGTCAAGGCAGATAGACACGCAGGCCTGGGTCCCCAGACCCCACACTTCCGTCTTCTGCCCTCTTCCTGTCAGTCTGCCACTGACTCTCTTCTCCTGGTCGCTCCTCGGCTGCAGATCCAGGTCATCAGCTTCGTGACGGAGCACAACTGGGACTCCCTGGAGGTGTTTGATGGAGGCGATAACACGGACACTATGCTGGGCAGTTTCTCAGGTGAGGGGGGAGCCAGGGCGGGGTGGGGGCGGTGCAGCCGAGCTCCACTGAGCTCCAGGCCCCAGCGTGGCTTGCTGGCTCACTGGTTCCAGGAATAAATAAAAAAAAAACTTTTCAAGCGCTCATTCTTTGACTTTGAAAAGTTACTGCTTCTGCAGATGTAAAAATGTTCTACAAACATTAACAGAGATTGGCCTGTGGCTGCTTCATGTAACTAGATCATTGATGGCTCAGCCTAAGTGACTCTAGTTCTTTCCGTTCTTGCAAAAAAAGTTTCATTGGAGACCAGACAACAAATGAAAACTTTCTTTCCTTTTTAAGGTTCCAATCTCATTCCTGTCTGTCAGACTCCCTTAATGATTAGGCCAGGAGTTTCTGAGATGTTTTTTGTGACCCAAATTCTGACAGCTTCACAAATGAATATGTTCCACTCCAAGAATGTTCTCAGAACTGAAACTTGATAGATGGGTCATTGCTTGGTGGGACTAGTGTTTGTTTGTCTTTACATGTCCTGGAGGGTTCATTATTAATTATTATATTTTTTTTTTACTAAACTTATTTATTTATATTAACCTGCAGAATAAAACAAACCCTTTTGTGTGTTTAGTGTAATAGCCCCAAAGGAAATCTTTTGGACATGAGGAGGACATGTAAACACATACACACACACACACACGAAGCAGAATTTGAATTCCCAGCCACAGAGGTGTGAGGTAACAGTGCTTCCCACTGAGACACTGTTCCAGCTTCATGCTGAAGCCTGCAGGATATAGAAAAAGTGTATTTCTAGACGTTCAGCTTGTGTCTATTTCTGTAACATCTCTACATATTGTAGTTTTGCAGTATTCTAATATATGGAATGTATGATACATTATTATGTAAAAATATGCCTAACTAGCTTTTAATTATTAAAATCTAAGGATTTCTGTCCTCTAAGCATGAGAAGAACACTTGTTTTCCCTGGTATACAGAGCAGCAGTTTGCCTGGGCTGGCCGTGGAGCTGTTATTGCTGCCGTGGTTGTGGTTTCTGTCAGAAAATAGTCTCCTAGTTAAATGAAAGAACAGCACTGGCAGAGTAAATCGGAGTCTCTCTCGTGTGTGCCATCAACCTTAAACAAAAGCCATCGGGATGATGTATTTTTGCTCTGTACTTTAATCCAGAGCACACAGTAGAGTGGCAGAAAACACAGGTATTAGCAGATTTGTATTTCTCACCAAAATAGAACTATTGGTACATCCCAAGTGCACCCTTGGGATGATTCCCATGAGCCTTGGAGAAAAAAACAGACCAGATCCAGCAGATTAAAAGGAGAGGGGTGGGTACCTTCGACACCCAGGGCATTGTGGGTATCCAAAATGCAGCTTCTGCCTCTTCTGGGATTTCGGTGACCCCTTGCATTTCCTCCCAGTTGTGGTTCTATCATTATCTCTCTTAGTTGTGAGATTGAAATTGAAAGGCGTTAATGGCTAATGCTGATGGCAATGCATGCCCTGCGTTAAATGCCCCCCTGGAGCCACTGCTGTGTCCCCATTCTTAAAGTGTGGGTAGACTCAGGCTCAGACTGTCCTCCAGCAATAACTGCCTTCTGCTGGATTCACTGCGCAGGCACCACTGTTCCAGCTCTCCTGAACAGCACCTCCAACCAGCTGTACCTGCATTTTTTCTCCGACATCAGTGTCTCCGCTGCCGGATTCCACCTGGAGTACAAAAGTAAGTTCTGGGTGGGAGGGGCTCGCCAGTAACCCCACGCTGAAGGCCCGTTTGTCTGCTGGAAGCTTCCAGCTGCTCGCTGGCCGTCCTGCTAAGAAAGCTCCCCAGCTTGCTTTTCTTAGCCTCTGATCTGTTGATAATGCTTGTGGACTCAGTGAGACTTCCACTAGGGAAACGCAAGCAGTCATTATAGCCCTCTAGGACGATAGTGCCAGGGGGGCTGTTGGACTTGTCTAAATGTCCAAAATAATGGCATCCCCTCTTTTTTACTTCCCTTATTCTAGTATCTTTAACATGGCGAAGATGTGGCTGCATTTTTTGATATTTCAGCTTCCCATCCATTTTTGTATTTTTGTATGAAAGCAGATTGTATGAAAGCAGAGTGTTTGGTACAAACTCAATGGTATAAGGTAGTGTTTCTCAACCCAGTCCACGGGAACCCCCAGACAGTCCATATTCTTACTCCCTCCCAGCTCCCAGCGCACCTGAACCAAACAATAAAGGACACCAAATACCCGGTGCAGGTGTGTTGTGAGCTGGCAGGAAGCAAAAACATGGACTGTCTGGAGGTCCCTGAGACTGGGTTGAGAAACACTGTCATAAGGAGATTCCTTTTTCAGAGACAGCAGGAGAAGGGGGGGGGGGTACGGAAAGGAAAATAAAACCTTGTTAATAAACAAACATGAAATTGGCAGATTCTCTTTTGGCCTTCTGGAGCAATACTCTAACCAGCGTGTCTCTGCTTCCTGTTAGCCGTGTCCCTGACCAGCTGCCCCGAGCCACAGGTGCCCATGAATGGGATGAAAGTGGGAGACCGCTTCCAGATGAACAGCGTGGTGTCCTTCCAGTGTGAGCCGGGGTACACCCTGCAGGTGTGTTCAGGCTTTTTGCTGCTTGAACAGTCACTTATGGTCACTTGTCACCGGGCCTTTTGAATGAAAATTCCTTTGCCTGTTATTTATGTATATATGTGGTACTTTGATATGTAGCAGGTGCGATCTGGCTTTCCACTCTATCTCCTGTCTTCAGCCTTTTGTTCACCAGCAAAACAGCTGTGACAGGGCTGTAACAGAGGTGTAACAGGGCTATGAAAGGACTGTAACGGAGGTGTAACAGGGCTGTTAAAGGACTGTAACGGAGGTGTAACAGGGCTGTTAAAGGACAGTAACGGAGGTGTAACAGGGCTGTAAAAGGACTGTAACGGAGGTGTAACAGGGCTGTAAAAGGACTGTAACGGAGGTGTAACAGGGCTGTTAAAGGACTGTAACGGAGGTGTAACAGGAC